CTTTTTGGTAACATAACAATTTAAATTGCAGGTTGTGACCAAGGTTTTTCTAAAGCATTTAGCGCCAAAAAGTTGACAAAATCATCATGTTTTGAAAATATTTCTAAAATGTACTGACTTTTGAGTCTTCAAAGCATTTTTATGCTGAGATTTGTTTTACCTAGCATTAAGCCTTTTGAAATACACCTGGAAAAAAGTATTGCAACACCAAATATAAAATGAAATAAAAAACTGAAATTTCAATTTTTTTATTTTCATTTTTATTTATCTGATAGAGTACACCTTTCCTACTTATTGACCTTAAATTAATTGTTTTTCAACCCATGCATTTCCCCATGAGCTGTCCGTGTGTGGCCTTCACTTAAAACTTTCAAAAGTCAAGTTTAAGGTACGGGTCAAAATGTATGCTGTATGTTAGCTTGTTTGTGAAAAACTTATCAACAGTTGATGAAATGGGCTCCTCCTCAACTTTCTACTGATGTTAGATGGCAAATTATTGGCATGCGAGAAGCTGGAATGTCGTTAAGGCAGATTGCCCGACGCGTGGGCCACCACCATTCAACCATCAGCAGAATTGTAAGTAAACATCAAAATATCAATTCTGTGAAGGACCTTCCCAGATCTGGAAGACCTTCAGTAACTTCCGATCGTGAAAACAGAGCTCTTAGCCGAGTTATTCGAAGAAACCCCTTCATTAACAGTACAGTATTGAAAAGACAGTGGTTTCCACATCGTGCACTCTCCTCAAGAACTTTGAGAAATCGACTCAAAAGGGCAGGATACCGTTCCCGAAGGCCCGTGAAAAGGCCATTGTTAACGCCTAGACACAAAGCTGAACGATTACAGTGGTGTCGAGCTCGTCGTCGCAGGAATTTGGTATCTTGGAGAAGGGTGCATTGGTCCGACGAAAGTAGATTTTTGTTGCATGTCACGGATGGCCGAGATCGTGTTTGGCGGCAGCCAAATACCGCATATGCCGAAAGGAACATTGTTGAGACAGTCGCTTTCGGTGGTGGCTCCGTTATGGTGTGGGGATGCGTGTCTTATGACTGCAAGTTGGACCTGAAAACTGTTCGTGGTAACCTTAATGGGCAAAGATACCAGCAGGAAATCCTTGAAGCAAGTGTAGTGCCGCATTTTGACAATCACCCGTTGAGGACAAGGCCCATTGTCATGGACGATAATGCACGACCGCATCGATCGCGGGCTGTAACAGCGTATCTTCATGACGAGTCAGTGGAGACATTGCCCTGGCCAGCATGTAGCCCTGATTTAAACCGGATAGAGCACATTTGGGACATCATCGGTCTAAAAGTGCGAAAAATGACACCTCCTGTGCAAAATCTTGCATAATTGGACAATGCACTGCACCATGAATGGCAACAGTTAACACAACAACAAATACGATGGTTATGTGATGGTATGAGAAGGCGGCTGGAAGCAGTGATCCGTGTGAACGGAAGTTATATAAAATATTGAAATTTCCGGTTTAAATTGATAAAATGGACCAAAATGGGTGTGTTTGACATCAACTAGAAGTTGTCCGATGGAATTGGAATCGTGTAGATCAATAGTTGTAAACAGTGCATTTGTGATAAAAAATGATGTCTTTTTAAAAATAAAATTTTGTATAATTAAATTTGAATTTTTCAGTGTTTAACATGTCTATCAGCTTTAAAAAGACCCAATTCACCCCAAAACTATGAACATTTAACCATATTTTAGAAAAAAATGGTACAAGTAAGGTTTGAAATTTGTCTAATGGAAAAAATCAGGTGTTGCAATACTTTTTATACGACCGCAAAAAAATTTTTGTGGTCGTATATTGGTATGACGTTGGCGTCGTCGTCGTCGTCGTCTGGCGTCATCCGGCGTCGTCCGAAGACACATTGGTTTTCGCACTCTAACTTTAGTTTTAGTGAATGGATCTCTATGAAATTTTACCACAAGGTTCAATACCACAAAAGGAAGGTTGGGATTGATTTTGAGGGTTATGGTACCAACAGTAAAGGAATAAGGGGCCAAAAATAAGCATTTTTGTAACTTCCAGACATAACTTGTGTGTTAGTGTATGGATCTCTCTGACATTGTACCACAAGGTTCCATATCACAAAAGGAATGCTGGGATTGATTTTGGGGGTAATTGCCTCTAAATTTTAGGAATAAGGGGCCAAAAAAGGGGCAAAAAACAAGCATTTTTCTAGTTTCATGACAATAACTTGTGTGTAAGTGTATGGATCTTTCTGAAATTGTACTACAAGGTTCCATATCACAAAGGGAAAGCTGGAATTGAGTTTTGGGGTAATTGCCGAAACGTTTAGGAATTGGGGGCCAAAAAGGGGCCAAAAATAAGCATTTTTCTAGTTTCCAGACAATAACTTGTGTTCAAGTATATGGATCTCTCTGAAATTGTACTGCAAGGTACCATACCACACAGGGAAGGCTGGGATTGATGATGGGGGTAATTGTCTCAATATTTTAGGAATTAGGGGCCAAAAAGGGTAAAAAAACAAGCATTTTTCTAGTTTCAGGACAATAACTTGTGTGTAAGTGTATTGATCTTTCTGAAATTGTACTACAAGGTTCCATATCGCAAAGGGAAAGCTGGGTTTCAGTTTGGGGGTAATTGCCTTAAATGTTTAGGAATTTGGGGCCAAAAAGGGGCCAAAAAACACATTTTTCTAGTTTCCAGACAATAACTTGTGTTCAAGTGTATGGATCTCTCTGAAATTGTACTGCAAGGTACCATACCACAAAGGGAAGGCTGGGATTGAGTTTGGGGGTGATGAATCATAAGGGGGTTCAAAAAATTTGGGGCAGTATTGCACAATAGCAAGAAATCTTCAATTGCACAGTATTGCGCAATAGCAAGAAATCTTCAATTGCACAGTATTGCGCAATAGCAAGAAATATCCAATAGCACAATATTGCGCAATAGCAAGAAATTGTCAATTGTACAGTATTGCGCAATAGCAAGAAATATTTAATTGCACAGTATTGTGCAAAAGAAGATACTTCATATAAATTGCTTATTTCTTGACCAATTTCAATGGGGTTTTATTCTTGAATTCTTGGGGTTCTTTAATATGCTGAATCTAACCGTGTATTTAGTTTTTGGATTTTGGGCCCCGTTTTTAAATTGGTCCACATTGAGGTCCAAAGGGTCCAAAATTAAACTTTGTTTGATTTCATCAAAAATTGAATTATTGGGGTTCTTTGATATGCCGAATCTAACCGTGTATTTAGATTCTTAATTTTTATACGCCCGTTTACGGAACGTATTATGGTATACCTTTGTCCGTCTGTCCGTCCGTCCGTCTGTCTGTCTGTCCGTCCGTCGTCAACATGTCGGACAATAAATCAAAAACGCTTTAACCAATTTGTATAAAACTTTGGTGAATTGTTTATATCTATTGACGTGAGCTCCCTTTCGTTTTTTATAAATTTTGAATTTTACGTTTCTGAGTTACAGGGTTTTATTCATTAAAAAAAGGGGGATTTTCCAGTTTTTGGACAATAACTCAAGAATGCTTTCACCAACTTGCAAGAAATTGTGGTGAATTGTTTATATCTATTGACATGAGGTCCCTTTTGATTTTTATAATTTTAGATTTTACGTTTCTGAGTTACAGGGTTTTATTCATAAAAAAGGGGGATTTTCCAGTTTTCTGACAAAAACTCAAAAATGCTTTCAGCAGTTCTTATGAAACTATGGTGAATTGTTTATATCTATTTAAGTAAGCTCCCTTTAGAATTTTATAAATTTTACATTTGACATTTCTGAGTTCTGGGGTTTTATTCATTAAAATAGGGGGGATTTTCCAGTTTTCGGACAATATCTCAAAAATGCTGTCACCAATTCTCATGAAACTTTGGTGAATTGTTTATATCTATTGATGTAAGCTCCCTTTTGATTTTCATAAATTTCTAATATGACATTGAGAATTAATTGAACTTTATTTGTTTATTGTCTGACAACAGTTTACTAAGTATTGCGCAACAGCACAGTGTATTGCACAACAGCAAGAAATCTTTAATTGAATATAAATTCAATTCATATAACCAATTTCATGTTCTTTGACTACATTTATTCAGAAACCTGTAATATGTCAAATATTAATTACAATCCAAATTCAGACCTGTATCAAGCTTGAATATTGTGTCCATTTTTGCCCCAACTGTTCAGGGTTGGACCTCTGCGGGCGTATCCAGCTGCGCTCAGCGAAGCAGTTTATTTCCAGGTGTATATATATCCATATTATAAAAAAAATGAGGCCTTTATGATATTTAATGATCATAGATAAAGTTTACATTCAAGGCCATATTTCGGCAAAAATGAACCTTGTCCTTTCAAATTTTCTGTTTTTTTATAGACTGATAATTAACTACATTATATTGTAAGTTAATATAATCTTAACAATTTCATTAAGTGTAGCACTTAATGTATCTCAAGATTATCTTGTTTGTCGTACTTATCTTATCACCACTTGATTACCATTTACCAAAAATGACAACATCCTCACATGCATTAAACCTCTATAGGTACTGGGACTAAATCATGATTTCACTGTTGAATAAACCTTGATAGGTAGTGGGACAAATACATGATTTCACTGTTAAAGTAAATATTAACTCTGTAATGTTCCATTCAAATCAGACATATCATCTGATCATTTACTCCTCATTAAGTCATTTACTAAAAAAAAATAAGTGCTTTGATACTGGTAAGTTGCAATTTTATTAGTTGTACCATTAAAATACAACATTTAAATGCTCCATGGAATAAAATCTAAGAAACCTGTCATTTCACTGTGGATTTTGTTTGTTAAAGGACAATTTTTATGAAATCTATTCAATGGAGATATTTGATTTTGAAGCTTTTTAAAAAACCTCAAAATGTGTTCATGCTACATTGGTTTTGTTTATACTGACTTACTGTAATTTTTGAAATCCAAAAAGGTTTAAAATAGATATATTTACATATTGTTAAATAGGTTACTTCCTGGTTGCTGTATGAATGATTAATTTTGTTGTGATAAGTGTGTATAAGTTTGTCATATCATGCAGCTCCTTAATATACTGCCTGTTAAAGGTAAGGTGATTATTTGTTTATAAAAGTGCATTTTATGTAAAACAGATAACACTAGAACAGGATACAAGTTCACTAGAACTTTACATAAATATCAATAAACAAGAATACATTTGTTGATGATACAAATGTTAACATTTGTACACTAGGCATGCTAGGTAAGCATATTGTAATATTGCATTCTAAAATCCCAATAATTAATAGTTTTGCAGTCATTGAATTATTGCCCCCTTTTGTAGATTTATGTTCAAATTAGTTTTTCATTTTATAATTGCATTACAACTGAAAGTTTTGTATGGTGTGGAAATTCCAACTTTCAGTATTTATACAATGAAACTATTGTAAATGGAAATACCAAAATAATGCAATAATATGTTTTAAGTCATACAATTATAAAGGAGGGACGAAAGATACCAGAGGGACAGTCAAACTCATAGATCGAAAACAAAATGACAACGCCATGGCCAAAAACAAAAAGACAAACAGACAAATAATAGTACAGATGACACAACATAGAAAACTAAAGACTAAGCAACACGAACCCCACCAAAAACTGGGGGTGATCTCAGGTGCTACGGAAGGGTAAGCAGATCCTGCTCCACATGTGGCACCCGTCGTGTTGCTTATGTTATTACAAATCCGGTAGATAGTCTAATTACAGTGTTAAATTTTAGAACAATATTGGAAATAACTATATATATCAGAGATCTGATTGTATTTGTGTAGATAATACAATGCAATAAGTAGCAGATTTATATATGTTGTGAGTGAATCATTCCTGATAGTTCGTAAATGTCAAGAAGTGAGAAAGTCAATCAAAATGCAGTGAAAAAGGCATTTATTTTTCTTTAAATGTTAAACTTCTATAGAAGTGTATCACTGATTTACTACCTAAGACAGAAAAATGAAAAATATATAGTTGTTGTCATAGTACTTACATGTACTGACTTTTGTGTTCAGCAATTTACAGTACATTAGTAGTAGTTATATCTCCTGTATACTGTACTGTTGTTTAAATATAGAAATAGGATGTGGTATGATTGCAAATGAAACAACTATCCACCAGAGACCAAATGATGTAGATGTAAGTAACTATAGCTCACTGAACAGCCTTTAACAATGAGCAGAACACATACAGTATAGTTGGATAAAGGTGGCACGGTAGTATTTCCTGGCCCATAGGGATAATGATAGCCTTTTTTAGAATTTTCACCACTGTCACGGAATAGAAGATCCTTCATAATATAAGTTCCAAATGGAAACAATATTCTGGAATATTATATCCACTGGAATAAATGTTCCTAACAGAATAAATGGTATAGAATATTTGTTCCAACAGGAACAGATATTATGACATTGTTTATAACAAAGTTTCCAGTGGAACTTCTGTTACATGTAGGCGGAACAAATATAACGTTAATTTGAATAATTTTTTGTATGATGACCGTTTACTTTTTTTGCTGTCTTTATAAACCTAAGGCCACTAGTGCTTTTCTAGGTCTTTTATCATGCAGTGAATACAAAATTTTTAGAAATTCTCAAAAATTCATTTTCACCTGTATGTAAAGTTATTTCATATTTTTCTACACCTGATCCATCCCTCAGTTTGGGAAAGTATGTTCAGTAGATACTGTTTTTTTTTGTCCAATCGCACTGTTCAGATACATTAACTTAAGTAGGGTACACAAAAGAGCAACCTAAATTCCGAAATGTAAATACTACCATGCCACCTAAAAAAGACCCCACAATAACAAAGTGTAAATGAATTCAAACCAGAAAACCAAATGCCTGATTTATGTAACAAAACAACAAACGAAAAACAAATATGATAGACTGCAACCACTGTATAACAGGCTCCAGACTTTGAACATATGTAGGCACACACATAATGTGGCTCAGTTAAACATGCTTACAAGGGCTCAACACTCCCCCTATAACCAGGGACAGATTTAAAACAGCACAAAAATCCAGTTACTGTACAACTACCAAATAAACCATGTTGCCCAGACTAAGATATCAATCAGTACACATTCAATGTGCTCAAACTGTTTAGGGATTATGGGCCAAAAAGTGCGAAAAAACAAGGGTGTCCTGGTTAATGGACAATGGGGGGGGGGAGGGGTGACAATTTTTTCTCCTCAAGATTTCAGAAATCAAAAAGAAAATCCTTCAAATTTATTTTTTTTTTGAAAAAAAGGGGGGGGGAGGTCAATTCGCAACAGCATAGTGTATTGCACAAAAGCAAAAAATTGAATATAAATTCAAATCATATAACCAATTCTAAGTTCTTTGACTACAGTTATTTTGTGTCAGAAACCTATTGTGTGTCAAATATTGAATTACAATCCAAATTCAGACCTGTATCAAGCACGAATATTGTGTCCATTTTTGCCCCAACTGTTCAGGGTTGGACCTCTGCAGTCGTATTCAGCTGCACTCGGTGAAGCAATTTATTATAATTGATAACAAATTCAATGTTTGTACCAACAAAGACAATATTCAAAGATTGCAGTGTTAAACTGATAACCTTTTAGAATAAGGATCGATATAAGTTGACTTGGATCGTATTCAAATTTTACGAAACTTTAAAAACAATACCACTGTAAAAATGAGGATGGGATATTCTGTTTGTAATGATTGATTGATTGTTGGTTGTTTAATGCAATTGTAATGAGTTTTCTGCATGAACAGCCAAACTGCCTAACCAAATCTGTGTATCTATGAAAGAAATAAGTAAAGGTTTTACGCAATGTGTTGCAAAGAAATCCCTACTGACCTTATAATTTGCCATTCATATACATAGATTAGGTTCATTGAAATATATAATATCACTACAGAAATTGGAATAAGCAATCAAGTTGGGATATATAAAACATGCTAACTGGTTTGCTATTTAACAGCATAAACTAATGTTTATATAGAATTGTATATGACTGTATTATATGTATAATGTACATTTCTGTTTAATCGCACACTACTTGCCATTTTATCTTAAAGAGGACAAATTCTCTTGTTGGTAATTTTATATAGCATCAACGTTATCAACAGAAACAATGAGCAATTGTCACTGTACAAATGCTGTATACAGCCCTAATGTTGAGGGCACGTTTATAAACCATCTATTGATTCTTTTGAAAAAATTTTGTTTTTTATCTTTCAGAAATGTTTCGCCTTGTGTGTATGGTGATTATTTTTGTTGACATTTCAGCTGCAGGTAAATAAATAATTAGTTTCTTTTGATGTAATAAATATTTATCATTTACACAAGCTAAACTGTGAAAGTAAAACATGACAGGAAAATGCACCCTGACAGATATACTACCGTTAAACCTTTCAAAATATTTTAAAACTAATTATTTATTCATTATCAAGAAATTAAAAAGTTTTTTTTTTGTCAAAAGCATTTTTAGCATAGTAAAGGGTAGTCCATTGAATCATGAGTTCCAAAAGCAGTTCTCTATACTTTCTGTAAATAGTATTAGAATGCCAGAAATAATTTCTTGAAACAACTCATCATACAATGTATATCAATAATGTTCTATATACCAGGTATATTATACAATTGTCTCATGTTATAGTTTCAACCTGTGATAAAACCGTAAACATAAACAGCTCTGTGACAGCCATAGACCTAAAAGACACAGTGAAGCCAAATATATGCACTTGGACTCTAGAGTCACCTAGCAATACAACAATAGTTGTCAAGATAATTGACATTCAGTTACGGGGAGGCTTGGATAGAGTTATTGCCCTTGATGGACCAGATGAAAATTCATCATTGATTCAGCAGTGTGGTTTAAACTGTAACTTGAAAGGTAACTCTGCTTATATTTGAACAAATAAATTAAGAGCAGCTAATATTTCAACTAACAACTTTATACTTTTGTTACAGCTATTATATTTTTGTCTATTTAGATACATTAAACTTAAATGTTAACAAATTTTTTTATAAGAATCAAATGGATTTCATTATTATGAGGATTCAATTGTAATGTATACATAACTTTCATTTTTTTAAAAATCACAATGCTGTAGATTCATTTATTTTTGTGGATTGAGGTAAACTTACGTTTTCATGGATAATTGATTTCGTGGTTTTGCAAAAGTCTGTATACCAGCCTATAAACAATTTGTAATTCATTGAACATTTGAATTTGTGGTTCACCTGTACTAACGAATACCATGATAAGTAGTACATGTATCCCATGATAAATAATGAATCCACAGTAACTTAAAACTAAGAATCAGTTGATCATTCCAGGAAGTCTTTATTGTGACTTGACTGTGAGTGTTGCTCTCCACCTATTGCAATTAATTCAAAATTCTGACCAAATTGCAGTTTGTTTTATCAAACCAAACTGTTTAATTGGTCAGAAATCTGAACAAACTGCTGTAGAAAACCACAGTCAAGTCGTGAAAGTGCAAGGTGATAAAATAATGCATACTTACAATCCTTATGGACTTTAATTCCACTTCATCGTTTATTTATTTATGAAATTGTTTATAAGAATTTCTATACATTCTTTTATTGTTATTGTCTTTCAAAATGTGATAGGTAGTAATTTTTGAACTGCTGAAAAAATGAATTAAATACAATAAAAGAATGTATAGAAATTCTCATAAACATTTTCTTAATATCAATGAAGTGGAAGTAAAGTCTAATAGGATTGTAAGTATGCTTTTCTTTATCATCTAGCACTCTCATGAATTGACTTTGGTTTTCTACAGCAGTTTGTTCAAATTTCTGACCAGTTGAACAGTTTGGTTTTATAAAACAAATTGCAATTTGGTCATAATTTTGAATAAACTCTAATAGGTGGAGAGCAACAATTACAGTCAAGTCACAGTAAACTGAATGGAATTATGCAGACGATTTCTTTTCCATGACTTCTCAGAATATCGGTTATAATTTGTCAGAGGCTGAGAAGAAGGTATACAGGGCTTTCAATAGATTTTGAAGTAGCACTTTTAAGTTACTGGAATAGACAGCTGCTTCTTATCAGAGTTACAGGGAGAGCATGGGCAGACACAAGTTTTTTTTTTTTTAAAAACAGCCTAGAAGATCACTGAGGAAAAATGGAAATTTGTATGTTAAATGAAAGTAAATTTGTAAATTTATTTTATATTTTCAGGTTCATTTTTGATTTCCAGCAAGAACCAAATGTTGATACAGACATACCTTGATGGCAATGAAGATATAAGAATATTCAGTGTACAAGCCTGGGCACAAGGTCAGTGCATGTTTATTATTGTCAGTTTACAAGCCTTGGCACAAGGTCTGTGTGTATTTATTTGATTCTTTGTGTACAAGCCTGTGCATAAGGTCAGGGTGTGTTTATTTGATTGTTAGAGTACAAGCCTTGACACCAGGTCGGTTTCTGTTTATTATTGTTAGTTTACAAGTCTGGGCACAAGGTCAGGGTGTGTTTATTTGATTGTTAGTGTACAAGCCTTGACACCAGGTCGGTTTCTGTTTATTATTGTTAGTTTACAAGTCTGGGCACAAGGTCAGGGTGTGTTTATTTGATTGTTAGAGTACAAGCCTTGACACCAGGTCGGTTTCTGTTTATTATTGTTAGTTTACAAGTCTGGGCACAAGGTCAGGGTGTGTTTATTTGATTGTTAGTGTACAAGCCTTGACACCGGGTCGGTTTCTGTTTATGATTGTCAGTTTACATTGCTCAATGTTAGGTTTAGTGTTTTGGTCTGTTTTTCTTAAACTATAAGTAATAGGTCAACTATATTTGGTGTATGGAATGATTGTAAGGTGTATTTGTCTGACTGGCAGTTATCATCTGACCTTGACCTCATTTTCCTGGTTCATTGGTCAATGTGAAGTTTTCCTGGTTAAGTTTGTTTCTTAGATACTATATGCAATATGTCAACTATATATAAAGCATGGAATGATTGTAAGGTACATGTCTGTCTGGCAGGGTTCATTTGACCTTGACCTCATGTGCATTGTTCAATATAAAGTTTTCATGGTTTGGTCTGTTCTTGTATACTATAAGCAATAGGTCAACTATATTTGGTGTATGGAATGATTGTAAGGTGTACATTTATTTCTGGCTTGGTTTATCTGACCTTGACCTCATTTTCTTTGATCATGTTAAGTTTATGTGACTCGTCGTAAAACTTTATATCTAGGACTATTAACATAAAATCAATGGTCGGTATAGTTGGCAAGACATTTCAGCATGTGCACTCTTGTTAACAATTGCAGAATATATTTACGAGAATCTTTATCTTTTGGTTTAGAAAATAATCAGAGATGGATGATCAGGTTGCAAAGTGCACATTTGCTATTGAATCCTACTTCTATTAAATTATAGTTTGTAGGACTGTTCTATTGTCTTTTTGTACGACCGCAAAAAATTTGCGTTCTTATAATGCTATCATGTCGTCGTCATCCGAAGACACATTTGGTTTCCGGACAATAACTTTAGTTTAAGTGAATGGATCTCTATGAAATTTTACCAGAAGGTTCAATACCACAATATAATGGGATTGATTTTGGGGGTTATGGTACCAACAGTTTAGGAATTGGGGGCCAAAAACAAGCATTTTTGTAGTTTCCGGGCAATAACTTGTGTGGAAGTGGATGGATCTCTCTGAAATTGTACCACAAGGTTCCTTATCACAAAGGGAAGGCTGGGATTGAGTTTGGGGGTAATTGCTCCAAACGTTCAGAAATTTGGGGCAAAAAAGGGGCCAAAAACAAGCATTTTTCTAGTTTCCAGACAGTGTTTCAGTGTATGGATCTCTCTGAAATTGTACTACTTGAAAATAGATATTAATTTGATGAGAATACATTTTCCACTTAAAGGGAAAATTCGCTATTTTTTACTTACAGTTTAAATATGTTCATTATAACATAAAATATATATTCACAAAGTGTTATCGCTATATGTGCAGTAATAAAGAAGAAAATCAATAATTAATAAAAATTTTATTGACTACTTCCTGTAGTAGGTGATGGTTTCTCCTGGTATTGCATGCCGGGATTAAAAGTACAATCATTTAAAGTCTTGGTCTTTAATCATATTTTAATGTAATCATAAGTGCCGATGACTAATTTTGATAGCTAATTACCATCCCATAGGAAGACAATAAAATGAACAGATATGCAATTTTTATACGACCGCAAAAAATTTTTGCAGTCATATATTGGTATGACGTTGGCGTTGTCATTGTCGTCCGAAGACACATTGGTTTTCGCACTCTAACTTTAGTTTAAGTGAATGGATCTCTATGAAATTTTACCATATGGTTCAATACCACAGAAGGAAGGTTGGGATTGATTTTGGGGGTTATGGTACCAACAGTTAAGGAATAAGGGGCCAAAAATAAGCTTTTTTGTAACTTCCAGACATAACTTGTGTGTTAATGTATGGATCTCTCTGACATTGTACCACAAGGTTCTATATCACACAGGGAATGCTGGGATTGATTTTGGTGGTAATTGCCTCAAAATATTAGGAATTAGGGGGCAAAAAAGGGGCAAAAAACAAGCATTTTTCTAGTTTCATGACAATAACTTGTGTGTTAGTGTATGGATCTTTCTGAAATTGTACTACAAGGTTTCATATCACAAAGGGAAAGCTGGAATTGAGTTTGGGGTTAATTGCCCAAAACGTTTAGGAATAAGGGGCCAAAAAGGGACCAAAAATAAGCAATTTTCTAGTTTCCAGAAAATAACTTGTGTTCAAGTGTATGGATCTCTCTGAAATTGTACTGTAAGGTACCATACCACAAAGGGAAGGCTGGGATTGATTTTGGGGGTAATTGCTTCATAATTTTAGGAATTAGGGGCCAAAAAAGGGGCAAAAAACAAGCATTTTTCTAGTTTCAGGACAATAACTTGTGTGTAAGTGTATGGATCTTTATGAAATTGTACTACAAGGTTCCATATCACAAAGGGAAAGCTGGGTTTGAGTTTGGGGGTAATTGCCCTAAATGTTTAGGAATTTGGGGCCAAAAAGGGGCCAAAAAACAAGCATTTTTTTAGTTTCCAGACAATAACTTGTGTTCAAGTGTATGGATCTCTCTGAAATTGTACTGCAGGTACCATACCACAAAGGGAAGGCTGGGATTGAGTTTGGGGGTGATGAATCATAAGGAGTTAAAAAAATTTGGGGGGGGGGATTTTTTTTTCTTTAAAATTTTCCATTTTAAAGTGGTTATTTCTGATTTATATATACAAGCAGATAATAATGATATGGTTTGAATAGGTAAATTAAAAAATTTTAAGTTCTTAGACCACATTCATTCTGTGTCAGAAACCTGTGCTTTGTCAAATATTTAATCACAATCCAAATTCAGTGCTGTATCAAGCTTGAATGTTGTGTCCATACTTGCCCCAACTGTTCAGGGTTTGACCTCTGCGGTCGTATCAAGCTGTGCCCAGCGGAGCATTTTATTTACTTTCATGAGATAAAATTTGCTATATTTACCGTATACATTTCAATTTATTTTTGTTTACAGCACAATTTTTTTTTATTTGCTTTTTCTGACGGATATGGTGAACAAATTAAAGTGTAACTTAAACTGTAAAGACAAAGGTGTACACTTATTGACCCTTTACTATCTACCGGTAGGCTAGGACTAGGTATATACGATGTGTGTATTATTCTCTGGCAATACTGGTTGAAGGCTTGTATAAAGGTATAAGGTAATTTACAGATCAGCAATTAGCAGGGCCTCTAGGGTACACCATGCCAGGTGTGACTGTCAATTCGAATGGATTATAAGACAAAAGGTCGAGTTGAATACACAAAGTTAGAATACATATTCAAGGTGGTGGCAAATACAAATAGATTGTCGTGGTATATTAAATTATATTTAGGACTTGGGTTAGGCACGTTGTTAACCGAATCATTATTTTGAACATGTATGTCATATACATGTAGGACGAATAAATCCAATGTTATAAAAATGCGAAAATAATGTTCAAATTTATAAATCTAAAGGAGAAGTTATTAAAATAAAAAATATGTTTTTATTTGATTATTTTAAAAACGAAGAAATAATCTTGGGAAAACTAATAATCAATTGTTATAATAAGAGTATATTATTTACTGATCAAAACGAGAATAAAAAGTGTATCCAAAGTGCTTATGATTTACCTCATACGGTTATAAAATGTATGGAAACACTCTTAATCTAAATTTTTGAAATCAAAAGGTGTTTAACCAATATCAGAAACCATCTAAAGTCAACTTTGCCTATGTAGAATGGAACCAAAAAAATACATAATTTCGGCTGAAACGTGTTACTCATTAGTTTATATTTAGTGCAAGAAAACTTGTGATTTGTTTAAGACAGACTGGAAGAATCAGATTTTCCATGTTCTTTATGTCTTGTACCTTTGCAAGACTTGTCATTCATGTTCTTCAGTAGGGCACATTATTCCTACTCTAAATAGACAAGAATACTCCTTAATACCAGACAAGCAGTAGTATTTTAAAATTTCTGTGATTTAATACCAAGTTAAATAAAATGGAGGGGGGGGATGATTTAAATTCTGACTAGATTGTTTTTCTCAACTTATATCACTAAACCAAAAAAAAAAATACATCCAGGAACAAAATTCTTTTTGTAATTTCATAGAATACTCCTTAATATCGGCTACAGTACTTAGTGGACAAGCAGTATTTTTAATTTGATTTAATACTTAGTAAAAAACACCGAAATTAATTTGATAGTCAATATCTTTCCATAAAAAATATAAACCAGTATATACGTGAAACTTCGTGGGACAGTACCTAACCATATGCAGGTAATATACATGTAGCTCCGCTGTAATACCTAAAAAAATGACAGAAATACACTAAATTTATGGTGTGTACTATGCAACTACGGCTATGCACATTTCTAGGAAGTTGCATAACTACTACTAACAACAGCGTACATGTACATTTTTTTTAATGACTCCTTCCATCATTTCAACCAAGAATGACAATTATATATGAAATGCTATAGTTAGTGAAACTTTATTTTCTACTAGATGTGTGTATTTTTTATATATTTATATACCAAATGTGTGCATTTTCCTCTTAAAAAAATCGAGAAAAATTTCATATACCGGTTCCTATAAGGTACAGAAATATGCTATATTTATGCAATTTATACGATTATTTTTAACATATATTTTTAATTGTGACTATCTATAGTTCCGTAACTTTCTAACTGTATAAACCAATGATTGACAAGTGCATACATTTTTGTGAAATAAATATATATAGGCTATGTTTCAAATTTTCCATAATTATTGACAACGAGTATATACAATGTACTGACATTTTTCCAAATTTTACGGCCGTTGGAAGTATCTAAATAAATTTTATTTCCTCAAATCTTTTGCTAGAACTATTGAGATTTTCACAAATATCATTCTTTACACCAGAAATGCAATTCATAAACAAGAGGTAGTTTAATTTTATACACGTATTAGTTTAGCAATGACTAGTATTATATAACTGTCGGACTCAAGACAAAATATGTACAAATGATGTATGTTACATCTGATAGTTTTTAAAAAGGAAATTTCCAAGTTTCCGGCCGTGTACACTGATACGCTCAGCAGTAAAGCGATGAATGAACCTGCATTATGTAATTGTGTAATAAAGAGTTTTTTAGCCTGATAGGAAATCGCTTGAATACCTGGACATGTCACCTCACAACACCTCTGGCAATAATTCTTTAGCCATGCTGATGATCAAATTAGAGAGGACAGACTTGAATAAATGTATTGCATTAAAAGACCAAATTAGATTTTTGAAAACAATTTTAAACATTGTCCGTATCAAGTTAGTTTAAAAAGTTTGCTGATAGGTAGTATACAACGATGTTTGGTATAAATTTTTTTTAGGATCCGGGAAACTGTAATTGCGTTTGTCATTACCTTGTTGGGTTAAAACAACCGTACACCTGACAAGTGATTTCGACTACGTTAGTCGCTGTTGGTTTTGGTACTATGTGGTTTATAGATATCACATGTTTTTTTATTCGGGAAGCCATCAAGATGGCGACATGTAGATAATTGATAATCTCAATTCAAAATCGATGCTGATCTCTTATTGAGGGAAATAAACGTTAATAATAATGAATTTGTGATTTTTTATTAACAATGAACATAATATAAATTTTTCATATTTTTGCAAAGTTTCCCTTTAATTTCAATTGTAATAATGATAATAATTTTAATTGTTAATCTTTAATAGATAATGGTGGACGATTTTATAACAACGGATATATAACCTTAAAAAATAGTACAGACAATTCTTCATACTACCAGCTTCACAGTACCATAAAGAATCCTGATGAAAAACTACAGGTATTTATAATGTTTGTTTCTAGTATGAAAGTAAAAAGTGGTATAAATTTGTATTCAGGAGAACAGTTACAATAATCAAAAATAGTTTCTAGCTATTTTGTAAGATTGCAATTGTGATATTGTAAACCTTAATTTGTTTATAGTTTTAAATCTAGAGTTGATGAATAAGGGCATTTGTTTTGCAGACTTTTGTGGTTTCTATTGATATGAGCCATTCTTTTTCATTACATTGACAATCATTGTAACCACTGTTTGTTATATTTCAAAGACATGTCTTTGGTATAATGTAAAGCTGCATTTTTCATTATTTCCTAAAAAATTGTTGAATAGACAGGTTATTTTGAAGTTTTTGGGCATGAGTTATTTCCATTTCTTTTCATAAAAAAATGTTCGGGGGACATAAAAATAATGGTCGTCCGTCCATCCGGTCTTGTTAGCGCTCTCACATATACAATTCTTGCCAGATTTTTATGAAACTTATATCATAGGTTTATATCAGCAATGTCTTGGAAGAGTTCAAAAATCAGTGCCAATCAATTATTTTTATACGACCGCAAAAAAGGGGAAAGGGGCGGGGGGGGGGACACTTTTTTCTCATTTCAGAATTCAGAAATTAAAAAGAAAATTTCTTCAATATTTTTTTTTTGAAGGGGGGGGGGGGGGGGGGCAATTTGCAACAGCATAGTGTATTGCACAAATTATTGTGTCCATTTTTGCCCCCAACTGTTCAGGGTTGGACCTCTGCGGTCGTATCCAGCTGTGCTCGGCGAAGCAATTTATTAGAAGAGTTATGCCCCTTGGAAACATTAATCATTTGGAAAATTAAATCCTTAGCGCTCTCATTTGTACAATTCTTGCCAGATTTTAAGAAACTTATATTATAGGTTTTTATTAACAATGTCTTGGACGAATTTCGAAAATCATTGCCAATCAATTATTTTAAAAGAGTTATGCCCCTTGGAAACATTAATTATATGGAAAATTGCACCGTTAGCACTCTCAAGTGTACAATTCTTGCCAGAATTTTATGAAACTTATATCATAGGTTTATATCAGCAATGTCTTTGACGAGTTCAAAAATCAGTGCCGATCAATTATTTTTAAGAATTATGGCCCTTGGAAATATTAATTATATGGAAAATTGCATTGTTAGAGCTCTCATATGTACAATTCTTGCCAGATTGTTATGAGATTTATGTTATTGGTTTTTATCATCAATGTCTCGGACAAATTCGAAAATCAGTGCTGATCAATTATTTTAAAAAAGTTATGTCGTTGAAAATATTGATTATATGGAAAATTGCATTGTTATCGCTCGCATGTGTACGATTCTTTGAAATATTAATTATTACGGAAATCGCATTGCATTTGCTGTGAAGCCTTCATTTCTTGAACATTTTTATTAAAAGTTTTAAAAAGCAAAAAAAAAGGTTTTTTTTTTAGTTATTGCCTTTGTATCTTGGATTGATGAAATATGTGCAACGCGGGGGACATTGGAACTCTGTTCTTTTATTGTCTCCCGCGTAATGCCTTGCGGGGGACATGGAAATACCAGGGGTCAGTCCGTCTGGTCTTTTTAGCGCTCTCACAGGTACAATTCTTGCCAGATTTTTATAAAACTTATACTATAGGTTAATATCAGCAATATCTCGGACAAGTTATATAATGGTGGATGATTGATTTTTTTAAAAGAGTTATGACCCTCCGAAATATTAGATTTATTGAAAATGGCCTCAGTAGCGCTCTCACGGGTACAATTCTTGCCAAATTTATAAAAACTTATACTATAGGTTGATATCAGCAATATCTCGGACAAGTTCTATAATGGTGGACGATCGACTTTTTTTAAAAGAGTTATGACCCATGGAAATATTAAATTTATGGAAAATGGCCTCGTTAGCGCTCTCACGGGTACAATTTTTTATAAAACTTATAGTATACTATAAGTAATGCCCTTGAAGGTCTGTTTGAAATGTTTAGTATACAATAAGAAAAACTTTTTTGTCCCCCACGCACGCTTTTTATTCATAAATTGTTTTAAAGAACAACAACAAAAAGTTTTTTTTTTTTAGTTATTGCCCCTGGATAGATAAAATATGTGCAAGGGGGGGGACATTAGAACTCTGTTCTTTTATTAAGATTGCAACATTAGAAATAATTTTATGGAAATCCAAAAGTTAGAAATTTGTCTTTGACTTCTGGTTCAAGTTAATGAGTGTTGGATCAAGGATATTTTTATGCTCCCACCGCAAGGTGAAGGGGCGTTCAGGTTTTAACCTTGTCTGTCTGTCTGTCTGTCTGTACGTATGTATGTACGTAATGAAATTGGTTTCCATACTCTAACATAAGTTTGCCTCAACCAAAAGTTATGAACTTAAACACAATGCTAATTTCTACCAAACACAGATCATTTATCATCAAGTTTAAATTTAGGTGGCATCACTTTCACCATTCTTGAGTTATGTCTCTTTATAAATGGTAAAATTGCTGAATTTGCTGTATATTTTCAAGCAGGGGCATCTGTGTCCCATAGACACGTTCTTCTTTTATTTTTCAATTTGGTGTGGCTCTCATGCTACCCTCCCCCTGAATCCATTCCTGATATCAATAGTGTCAAACATTTGTTCTGGATGTCCAGGAACTTGTAGCATATTATCTTAGACATTGTATGATGTCCTTCTTATTTACTAATTCTAGGTCCAGCTAATACTGAATGACAGTTTGATGTACCCTACTTCCACTGTTAAGGTTTATGATGGGATATCAGATCAGGATCCATTGCTGGCAAATTTCAGGTAATAATTCTATATTTTAGTTATGCATGATGAAAGATGATTTCTTGAGCCTATTTACCCATCAGTTTGATTCTTTGTTTTGCATATGGTACAAATGGATAAACATTGAAAGAAGTATCAATAGTCTATTTTCAAAGCACCGGTATGTATATGCACAAGGATATCTTTTTTACCCCCTCTACCTTAGTTTTTGTCATAAATTATATATATATAGAGAGACTTTTTTTTAACCCTTCATAGAAATTCTTGATCCTTTGTGCACTTTATCAAATAAGGCTGTTTTTGATGACATCTTGATAGTAAAAGAATAATAGAATTCATTTTTAATGTTTACCTAAACCAACTCTATTGCTATATAATGTTCTTACTGACAACACTAAATATCATCACATTAAGAAAGACTATTTGTGAAAAATACCAGTCTTGAGAAGAAGTTTTCTTCATCTAGCGGCTTATGAAATGTTACTTTCTTTCATCTGGTATTTATCACAAATATCCTATCCTGAACAGGATATATCTCATTAATATTTGTAGTAGAATATTTATAAGCCAATAGCCTATTTTGTTTTCCAGGCTTATTGTCTGAACATTAGTTTTTATTAACACCAAATTAACAGCAAATTTAGATTTGTGATTATCTTGTAACATAAGAGAGTAGAATCTAAAAAAGATTGAATGTAAATATATATATTTCCATTCCATATACCTTTGGCAGTATTCAACATCTCTTTTTTTATATGGGTTGATTGACAATTTTTTATTTCCTCTTCAATTTAATTTACCATATATAATACTTTATCTTTGTACAGGACTAAGGAACAGTTTGTTCCCATTACATCTAGCCAGCAGGATTTATTGATTGTCACAGAAGGCTTCAATGACCAGTTACTTTACTTTGGTGGCAGTTTTGACTCTATAAAGCCAGGTTTGTTTTATATACATGTATATATATATAGGAATAAAGTGTAGTCACATGTACCTCTGGATGCATGACAGAATGTTGTATTTGGATTTTGGACTTTTATTTGAAACATTCTGAAGGAATTACTTTGTTACAAAAAAATGAAGATAAAAAGCACCTCTTGAAAATCAACAAGTGTTTATTATCAATGTTCTCATGCAAATTACAGAGACTATAAATTGTTTAAAAAGCAGAATTTTGTTAAACATCATCACTTTGTTTATTGACAAATTGCAAATAGCAAAAGTTTTAACATAGTTTTCATAATATCAGAGCCAGACTTGTTAAAAAGGGGTTATTTTCCAGATTGTGACCCTCCAAAAACATCCTGATCAACCAACCAAATTTCAATAAAGAAAATACTTCAACACACATATTTTTTCTTTGATCTAAGATTTTTTGTCCTGAAGGAACTGCGCTTGAACAAACATGTGCAAGATACCTTAAATTTTTATTACTGAATCTTCTTTTCTGAGGAACAGCAAAAAATAAATATTTAGTTAAAATACTAATTGAGAAAAAGGAGATTTAGTATGATTGCCAATGGCAATGAGATGACTATCCAACAGAGACCAAAGGATGTGGATGCAAGCAAATATAGTTCATGGTATGGCCTTCAAGATAGAGCAAAACCCATACCATATTATAATAAGCTATAAAAGTTTCTGGCATGACAAAAAGTAAATCAATTCATATGCGAACACAAGAGACCTGATTTATGCTAAACAATAAATGATTTATAAAGCAAAATAACAGCCTGTAACCAATGACAACCCCTGAACTACAGGCTCTTGACTTGGGATATTATACCAGTTTACCCTTGATTTTAGTAACAGCTAGTCAACAAGATAAAAATGCTTTCGGAAAGAGTGTGCTAATGTTTAAATGTAAATCAGTCTGCAGACAAATTTAAGCACACATTAAGACCGTATGCTGAAATATGATTTATTTATCAGAATTCATGCTTTCATACATTCACATTATTTATGTTTTCAGATTGTCATAAAGTATCATCTGGATCAGCAGGTTCATTTTCATTGGACAGAAAGAATTTCATGACAGAATGTGATTGGTTAATAAATCCCACAATGTCATCAGGTCTGTATTAACCATGCTTATCATTTAAATATACTTTATCTACCGTTTTTGTATGGTCAATTTTTTTGTCTGGTCCTATTTACAACAATACAAATAATAAAAATCACTTAAGAGTTAAAAAAAAAAAAAAAATTTCACAGTAGATTGAGTGCTTCAAATATGATTTTTAAAACAACTTTTTTAAGTATGAATTAGATAAGAACTTTTCTCTTCTGTTGACCACTTGGATATATACAAGATGAAGAATATGATATTTTTTATGTGGTCGTATATTGGTATCACGTTGTCGGTCGTCGTCCGAAGACACTTGGTACTGGACAATAACTTTTAGTATTAGTTAATAGAAATCTATGAAATTTAAACACAAGGTTTATAACCACAAAAGGAAGGTTGGATTGATTTTGGGGGTTATGGTCCTAACAGTTTAGGAATGAGGGGCAAAAAAAGGGACCCAAATAAGCATTTTTCTAGTTTTCAGACAGTAACTTGTGGAACGGTGTATGGATCTCTCTGAAATTGTACAACAAGTTTCCATACCACAAAGGGCTTTGAGGGGTAATGGCTCAAACCTTTTAGGAATTAGGGGCAAAAAAGGGGGAAAAAACAAGCGTTTCCTTGTTAATGGACAATCACTTTTAACTACAATGTTAAATTTGGATTACCTCCCTTACACTGCTTTAAAATTATGTTTAAAGAATTTTTGTATTGTCTTGAGGTGATTAGCTGTCAATTTATTTTTAGAAGTTACTAATAAAAATGCTTATTAAAGATATATTATTTTTAGACATGATTATGTATGTCATTTTCTATTTTAAGACTTATGATGTATTTAAATGGGTAATTATGGTTGCAAACTCCATTGGAAATTTGAATTCGCAACAGCATAGTGTATTGCACTGAAGCAAAAAATTGAAAATAACTTCAAATCATATAACCAATTCTAAGTTCTTTGACTACAGTTATTCTGTGTCAGAAACCTCTTATGTGTCAAACATTTAATTTCAATCCAAATTCAGACCTGTATCAAGCACGAATATTGTGTCCAAACTGTTCAGGGGTGGACATCTGCATTCGTATCCAGCTGCGCTCGGAGAAGCAATTTATTTTCATTTGTCTATCATTGTTAAATTAAACTGATCTGTAATTTATTTAAAAATACTGTAATTGAAAAATCTTTTATCTGTCATATTGTTAAACAGTAGTTTCTTTAATCTGTCATATTGTTAAACAGTAGTTTCTGGATGATCACCTAATACTTTAACGGTAAGAAAATTTCAGAGATTTCCTTATTAAATTTTTGTTTTGCAAGATTTCTGGATTAGCAAAGTAAGCCTAAAACATTGGATTAAAATTAAATAATCAATCATGAAAAAAGACTTTTATTTTGAATTCTTGTCTTTCATTTTTGCTTACGTACTTTGTCTATATGCCATTTTGTGTTTCTTTGTTGAAACAGTTATTTGTTTTTATAGTGATTAAGATTATATTACAATGTTGACTGATGTACCCCAAGTTTTGACATTTTTACCTATTATGTCTGTTTGTTTTGCTCACACATTGTTGTCAATATAATGGAATTTGATGCGACTTTCATACAAGTGAGAGGTTTAGCTAGCTTTAAAACCAGGTTTAATCCACCATTTTCTGCATAAGTCAGGAATATGACAGTTGTTTACCTTTCTTTAGATGTGTTTGAACTTTTTGATATTGCCATTTTATAAAGAACTTTCCGTTTTGAATTTCCCTTGGAGTTCGGTATTTTTTTTTTTTTGCATTTTACATCTTAGCGAATTCAGCATTTAGCATTTCATTTCTTTAATTACCACCCCCACCCACCATCATTCCTCTTTCGGAGAGATTCTGTAAAATACCTATTCTGAAGAAAATCACTCAGATATGGGCTATTCCAGAGTCTAAGCCGAGTTGAATCTATAAAGATGAACAAAATATATTCAATCAACACAACCACTAATTCTGACCAAATATAGTTTTGTTTTATCAGGTAATATCATACTGGACTTACCTTCTGTTGATTTGTGTGACAATGAGATGTTAGTTATCTATGAAGGTTTGTCATCCTTTGGTCAGAAACTTGGAACCATTACCAAGAAAACACAGTTGTCCAGTTATCCCTTGTTTACAGCAACAGCTGCCAATGGATTGAGGTAAGTATTTTATAAAGTTAGATAACAATACATTGAATAATTAAAGTATAAGTATTAGATGATGGGTGTGTACCTTTATGGCAGCAACCCAATGACTCAAAAAGCAAAAGACATCTAGCATTCAACTTCTAAAAGTACAATTTACCGTGAAGTCAATTTCAAAAGCTTTTGGAGCAATAAAATATATGGTTATTATAAATTGCTAAATACATTATGAACAATAAAAAATTGATTAAAGCTGTTATCCTAATGCTAGCAAGTTAAAGGTTTGGTTGGCTTGCTTACTTTGTTTGTATAAATGTCTGCATTCAATCGATAAGTGGGGCTTCTACTTGTATACATTGCTGAACTTCCAATATATTTTATAAGTATAATGTATACAAGCTGAAGCCCCGCCTATCTATTGATAGCAGATGTCAATCTTAATTACAATGCTTGAGCAAACATTTATACAAACAAAGCAAGCAAGTCAACCAAACCTTTAATTTGCTAGCATTAGGATAACAGCTTTAATACTCAACAACGCTTAAAATTAAAACAGGCTTCCATTGTGATATTTGGTATTCTTGTAAAAGACATGTCCTATAAGACATTCAAGAGTATTTCACTTATCAGTTGTTTCCTTTAAGAAATGCTTTTAAGAAAGGTAAGATCTCAATTACCTCTAATATCAAATGCACTGGGTGTCCAAAAATTTGCTCTCTTCAACCTATTTCACTCTGATAGGATTACATCAAAACCTACTTTCATGCAGTTGTACAACATGCATTTCTTACTTGTAGCTATGGTTTAAGTAAGCAGGAGTCAAAATACAATTAAAGTCGTTCCTAAAAAAAATTTCCATACTGTAAAATAGAAAATTTTCACAATGGTTTTATTTATGTTTACGGTAGATTAACTGTATACCGCCAACTTGCATTGTGAAAAAGCAGTATACAATACAACAGGTCTAGTTCTTTGCTTAAATCTGCAAATTTTGAGACAGATTGGCAATAAATTTGTAAGACTCTATTTGAATAAAGAAAAAATAAGTGAGTTATTGCATTATTTAGACTGTTTAAACAAATACCAGATATTTAATTTTGTTTGAATCAATTTTTTAACCTGGCCATTTGAGGGGCAATAATAAAAAATTTATAAAGGAATGTTAAAGAAATTGTCATTTTTATACGACCACAAAAAATTTTTGACGTTGGCATCATCGTCGTCGTCCGAAGACACATTGGTTTTCACACTCTAACTTTAGTTTAAATGAATGGATCTCTATGAAATTTTACCATAAGGTTCAATACCACAAAAGGAAGGTTGGGATTGATTTTGGGGGTCATGGTACCAACAGTTAAGGAATTGGGGGCCAAAAAGGGGCCAAAAATAAGCATTTTTGTAACTTCCAGACATAACTTGTGTGTTAACGTATGGATCTCTCTGACATTGTACCACAAGGTTCCATATCACAAAGGGAATGCTGGGATTGATTTTGGGGGTAATTGTCTCAAAATTTTAGGAATTGGGGGCCAAAAAAGGGGCAAAAAACAAGCATTTTTCTAGTTTCAGGACAATAACTTGTGTGTAAGTGTATGGATCTTTCTGAAATTGTACTACAAGGTTCCATATCACAAAGGGAAAGCTGGAATTGAGTTTGGGGGTAATTGCCCAAAAGTTTAGGAATAAGGGGCCAAAAAGGGGTCAAAAATAAGAATTTTTCTAGTTTCAGGACAATAACTTGTGTGTAAGTGTATGGATCTTTCTGAAATTGTACTACAAGGTTCCATATCACAAAGGGAAAGCTGGGTTTGAGTTTGGGGGTAATTGCCCTAAACGTTTAGGAATTTGGGGCCAAAAAGGGGCCTAAAAACAAGCATTTTTCTAGTTTCCAGACAATAACTTGTGTTCAATTGTATGGATCTCTCTGAAATTGTACTGCAAGGTACCATACCACAAAGTGAAGGCTGGGAGTTTGAGTTTGGGGTGATGAATCATAAGGGGGTTCAAAAAATTTGGGGGAGGGATTTTTTTTTCTTTAAAATTTTCCATTTTAAGTTGGTTATTTCTGATTTATATATAAAAGCAAATAACAATGATATGGTTTGAATAGGTAAATTAAAAATTTTTAAGTTCTTAGACCACATTCATTCTGTGTCAGAAACCTATGCTGTGTCAAATATTTAATCACAATCCAAATTCAGTGCTGTATCAAGCTTGAATGTTATGTCCATACTTGCCCCAACTGTTTAGGGTTCAACCTCTGCGGTCGTATCAAGCTGCGCCCAGCAGAGCATTTTATTTACTTGTAGCAAGAAAACAAGTTCGGTGGCAGTATTTTTTTTTTTCATTTTCTTAAATCATTTAAAACCTATCTTCTCATAATTTATTTCAAAATTCTAATTCATAGATCTCTTTTTATTCACAAAAAAGTGTTTTTCATGTATAATTTATGCATAAGTTTGAAAAATAGCAGGGTGACCCATACTTTTTGTCGAGCTTCAACTTTTGTCGAAAAAGAGAGACATAGCGATCCTACATTCTGTCGGTGGTGGCGGCTTCCACAGATATTCACTCTGTGGTTAAAGTTTTTGAAATTTTAATAACTTTCTTAAACTTTCCTGGATTTCTACCAAATTTGACAGAAGCTTGTTTATGATCATAAGATAATATTCAAAAGTAAATTTTGTAAAAAAAAAATTCCAAACTTTCCGTATTTTACTTATAAATGGACTTAGTTTTTCTGCCAGGAAACATAACATTCACTCTGTGGTTAAAGTTTTTGAAATTTTAATAACTTTCTTAAACTATCCTGGATTTCTACCAAACTTGGAAAGAAGCTTGTTTATGATCATAAGATAGTATCCAGAAGTAAATTTTGTAAAAAAAAAAAATCCATTTTTTCCGTATTTTACTTATAAATGGACTTAGTTTTTCTGCCAGTTAACATTATATTCAGTCTATGGTTAAAGTTTTTAAAATTTTAACAACTTTCTTAAACTATCTTGGATTTGTTCCAAACTTGGACAGAAGCTTGTTTATGATTAAAAGCTAGTATCTAGAAGGAAATTTTGTTAAAATTTTGTTCCATTTTTTCCGTATTTTACTTATAAATGGACTTAGTTTTTCTTCCATTTAACATTACATACAGTCTGCAGTTTAAGTTTTTAAAACATTTATTAGATTCATACACTATCCTGGATTTTTACTAAACTTGGATAGAAGCTACTTACAATCAAAAGATGGTATAGAGAGGAATATTTTTATTATTTTTTTTCCTCATTTTTGTTGTTCCTGCGATTAGCAGCAAAGGTAGACGAGACACTGGGTTCCGCGGAACCCTTATGAATTTTTAATATATTTTTATAAGTTTTGTACCTTTAATGTTATTCGTAATAAGATAAAATTATCCCCACATGTAAATTTTTTCTTTAAAAGATTAGAATCAAGATAAAAAAAAAATAAATGAAAATAAACCTTAGCCAACAGGGTTTGCACTGGAATTTTGACACAGCTTTATAAATGAATATTTCTGATTCAATGTATTTATGAAGAAGTTCTTCTCTCTTGCAGGTATATTATGAGACCTTGATTACTTGGTCATTCTCCAATGGCTTAGGAATTTTAGAATTCATATCCTCTCCCATTTGTATGCTGTAATGTGTCAGTTCCTTCAATTAAATTACAGTGAAACCTGTCTAAACAGAATATTGAATAAAACAAAAACCTGTCTAAACCAAACATGTTCTTAAGTTCAATCATATCAAATTTTATGCGTTTTGAACCTGATTAAACTGAACATCTGCCAAAACCAAACAAAATCTTTAGTCCTGAAGAGGTTCTGTCAAGACAGGTTTCACTGTACTTTTTATACGCCCATTTACGGAACGTATTATGGTATACCGTTGTCCGTCGTCAACATGTCGGACATTAACTCAAAAATGCTTTAACCAATTTGCATAAAACTTTGGTGAATTGTTTATATCTATTGACGTGAGCTCCCTTTCGTTTCTTTATAAAATTTAGATTTTACGTTTCCGAGTTATGGGGTTTTATTCATAAAAAAAGGGGGGATTTTCCAGTTTTCGGACAAAAACTAAAAAATGCTTTCAGCAATTCTTATGAAACTTTGGTGAATTGTTTGTATGTATTGATGTAAGCTCCCTTTAGACTTTTATAAATTTTACATTTTACATTTCTGAGTTATGGGGTTTTATTCATTAAAAAAAGGGGTGATTTTCCAGTTTTTGGACAATAACTCAAAAATGCTGTCACCAATTCTCATGAAACTTTGGTGAATTGTTTATATCTATTGATGTAAGCTCCCTTTTTATTTTCATAAATTTCTAATATGACATTGGGAATTAATTGAATTTTATTTGTTTATAGTCTGACAACAGATTTACTAAATATTGTACAACAGCAAGAAATCTTTAATTGAATATAAATTCAATTCCTATAACCAATTTCAAGTTCTTTGACTACATTTATTCAGAAACCTATAATATGTCAAATTACAATCCAAATTCAGACCTGAATCAAGCTTGAATATTGTGTTCATTTTTGCCCCTACTGTTCAGGGTTGGACCTCTGTGGGCTTATCTAGCTGTGCTCAGCGAAGCAGTTTATTATTTTTGCTGTCGTATATTGGTATGACATTGGCGGCGTCGTCTTCGTCCGAAGACACATTGGTTTTCGCACTATAACTTTAGTTTAAGTGATTGGATCTCTAGGAAATTTACCATAAGGTTCAATACCACTTAAGGAAGGTTGGGGGTTATGGTACCAACAGTTAAGGAATTAGGGGCCATAAAAGGGTCCAAATAAGCATTTTTCTAGTTTCCAGACAATAACTTGTGGAACGGTGTATGAATCTCTCTGAAATTATACCACAAGTTTCCATACCACAAAGGGATGGTTAGGATTGCTTTTAGGGGGTTATAGCTCAAACCGTTTAGAAATTAGGGGCAAAAAAGGGGAAAAAACAAGGGTTTCTTGGTTAATGGACAATTTGAAAGCAGTGTAAGGGAGGGAATCCAAATACATTTATAGTATTAAAAAAACATTTTGGATTACCTCCCTTACATTGCTTTTAAATTATTTATAAAGATGTTGCATTTACTTGAGGTGATTAGCTGTCAATTATTTTTAGAAGTTACTATTAAAGGAATATTAATTTTGAATTGAGATTATGACCATATCTTGAGGGAATGAATTTTTTTTTTGGGAAAAGGGGGGTCAGGCAATTTTTTCTCATTTCAGATTCCAGAAATTAAAAAGAAAATTTCTTCAAATATTTTTTTTTTTGCAAAATAAAGGGAGGGGGGTCATTACGCAACAGCATGGTGTATTGCACAAAAGCAAAAAGTTGAATATAAATTCAAATCATATAACCAATTCTAAGTTCTTTGACTACAGTTATTCTGTGTCAGAAACCTATTATGTGTCAAATATTTAATTACAATCCAAATTCAGACCTGTATCAAGCGCGAATATTGTGTCCATTTTTGCCCCAACTGTTCAGGGTTGGACCTCTGCGGTCGTATCCAGCTGCACTCAGTGAAGCATTTTGTTTAATTTTATTGCAAGGCTGGTAAGACATATCTCTGTGGTTATCATTTTTTTGTTTGTTTATTTAAAAAATTTTGCTGTAAATATTTTTACAGTCGTATCTACATAAATATATGATAAACCTTATGACAACATTCAAAATGAAGATATGCAATACAAATGCTCCTTTGATCTACTGTGTGATACATATTATTAAAGCAATATGTTTATTTTTACAGCATATTTTTAAACAGACCGACATCCAATTCTACATGTATAACAACTCCTTTCTCTGGTTCTTATTGGACAGTTCCAGGTTAGTATCTGGTTCTTGGTTCTTTTTTCAGCATATTCCAAAATATGTTTCAATCTCAGATGAACTTTATAGAGTTGATGAAAAAGAACTAAATGCTGTCTTGTATTGATTTTTAACTGGATTTTTAGGAAAATATCTGTTATTAATTTGGTGATGTACGGCGGGCAGGCGGGCGGATGTTTTCCAGAGAGTGTCTGTGCAATAACTTGAAAACATTTTGATGAAATCTTTTCAAATTTAGATATGTTGTTTCCTGTGACTAAATGAAGGTCAATTTCAATTTTCAAGATTTTAGCTTCTATCGTTGAGTTGAAGACCTTTAAGCAGCGAAAAGTGATACAATAACTTGATAAGGCTTTGATGAAATCTTTTCAAATTTATATATGTTGTTTCCTGTCAAGTTCGAATTTCACGATAATTTTTTCATTGACCATGCATATATTACAAGACAACAACCGTTTAAAAGTTGGTTTCTGGAAAGTTATTGGAGTGACCACAAGATTCCATGGTTTCATATTAAATAAGTTGTAATCTCATAAACATATTTCTTTCATTATTGATTTCATGATTTATTTCTACTCACCCCTGCTGAAAAAAATGTGTGTGTACTTAAATACTCTCTTAAATTCCAATATTATGTAAATTATGATAAGAAAGAGGTCAAGATTGATTTTGGCCTTTCTATTTCTGAGCCCTACAAAACTTCATTTATTTTTATGCCCGCCGCCGTATCGGAGGGGGCATTAAGTTTTACCCTTGTCCGTCTGTACGTCCCAAAATTGGTTTCCATTCTCTACCTTTAGTTTGCCTCAACCAAATGTATTGAAACATATACACAATGCTTATTACCACAAAACTCAGATCAAGTATGAATTTGGGTAGCGTCACTGCTACTGTTATAAGTTATGTCCCTTTATAATGTTATATGCAAGCGGGGAAATCATTTATTTTTACTTGATCCTGTTTGGAGATTCAGATTTGCAAATATCATTTTCATGCAGTAAAATTCAGTTTGCTGTCAATCTGACAGCCTCTTTTTATCCCTTTAAAAACGAAATTAATCTGATAGATATTCATGTTAAAGCAATGTTTACTTTTTACATTCCTTCCACAAAAATATGAGGAGAGAAGGATAATCTTAATTGTATAGGAGTGTGCCAGGGATTTAGCTTCTTGTACGGAGGGGTGTCTGTTAAAGCAAAGGCATATCAAATTAGGGACATTGACTCCAAGATACATATAAGATGGGACTGAAGAGGAAGGTTTGTAAATCTGCAAACCTAGTTCAGTCTTTTTACTTTTGTATGAAAATGCCTTTATTGAGTGAGAACTATAAAAGTAAATCCCCAACTGTTTCTGTGAGGATACTTTGAAGAGATTCGGCTCTATTGAAAAACATTTCTTAGAATAAATGATGAAGTTGAGTACATTGTTACCGGTGTATTTACATTTTGCTATTACATGTATCACTAAAACTTCAACAGTTTTAAAAATATAAGTCAAATCTGAAACAGCTGCAAAAGCTGGTATTTAGAAATTTAAAAGTTTATTTTATGTATCCTAACGAACCAACATTAGAACATTTGCCTATAAACTTAAAACTGGCAAAAAGATCACTCTACAATTATTCTTAAATGCTAATATTCATAATTTCAGTTTGCTCTGAAGATCTGCAGCCTTCTGGTATGCTCACAAGTCCATTGTATCCAAGTCAGTATCCTCTGAATTATGTCTGCAAGTGGAATGTGAAACCAGTTAACAAGACAACATCACTGTATATAGCCTTCAACACTCTAGATATGAGTGGTGCGACTACAATCAATGTTGATGTCAAATCTAAGCAAGTTGCCAATTACACAGGAAGTGAATTGCCATTATCTGCCTTTGTTACTGAGGTTACTAGTAATACTTCAGCCTCCATTGTGTTTGACTCTAATACTGGTAATCTTGGAACTGGGATAGAAATTCCAGGACAAGGATTTAACCTGTCTTACAGGATACTGGGTAAGGCCAAAAAATACTGGTATATATGTCTGTTTCCTGCATCTCTAATGAACCTAAGTTTAATCACTGACAATAAAAGATTTTATTGCTGTTCCAAAAAATTATTGAAGAACAACCATTTTGTGTCATTTGATTAGACTACAAATCCTATTTCTACTAGATTATTCAGTCAAATTTGTAATTAGATTGACCATAATCAACAGAAAAAATCGTCAGAACATTGTAAATAACATATGTACATGATGTGTTATGTATACTGGGATTCCACTCGGATAAAACATAATTTTTCCAAATTTTGTTAATACATGTATTTAAAAAAAAAATTTAAAAGAACAAACGAAAAAAGAAATCTAACCTACACTCTTTTATGGCTGAGGTAGTAAAGGATATATTTTTGTTTGTTAGCCTTAGTGATACATATTTACTGCATTCAGTTCAGCTTATAAACAATGACAAGTTTAAAGTTTTTATTTGCCAAATCTTAATTTCAGGTCACACATAGACAACAAAACATAAATCATCTTCATTTGACCTTGAATTTGAGACATTTTCCAGTTGTTTAAAACATGATATGAAAATGAAGTAAAGAAAAAGGAGTAATTAGTATTTGTTAAAAAATAAGCTGCAGAAAAACTATCATGGTTTATTGCATCCTTTGAAAGTTCCAAAAATTTGTATAAGGGTCGAAAAGTTGCATAACATTTATACATTTTGTTATAATATACCGATACTTTGCACGTTTTGCTTAGTTATATCACTCAGAATGCTATACCAGGCATTATTTTATGAATGTATGATAGCAGCTTTTTCCAATTTTTCATACTTAACCACAATTAACTTGTAGAAAAAATCATTTGAATATATTGCTCTTTAAAATAGGAATATAAGATTTCAGTCCATGAGTAGGTCAAACAACTGGTATTTGCTTTTTCTATATTAGGCAATGTAGCATTTATGAATGAGAGCAAAAACTGATTGACTCTGATTCAAAAAATGTTTCTAGCTGGAATGACTTGTCTTCTTGTTGACTGTTATTGTGAGCTAGCACATGAAAAATCTGTCTGTTTCATGCAACGCAGGGTTCATTTTCATATTAAAGTTATTTGTTTTCATCTTGAATATGTTTGAAGATTTCTTGCTGGATGATATGACCTTAGTTCTGTATGCTTGGCAATGCATATATTTTCATCTTTTTGTTTTTAATTTTTTGTATTCTTTTTTTATGAGATTCTTATTTAATGCATTTTAGTATATGTATTCATGGATTTTCATCCCGAAATAGATTTTTTAAAAGAATGATGGGCAAGTATTTTTTTATTCTTAATTATTTCTCAGACTGTGGTGCTAGTTTGAACGCAAAGAATGGAACACTGAGTAGTTTAACAGATATTCCAACAAATGCTATGGAATGTATATGGGTGATAACTGTGCCTCCTAAAACAGGAAAAACTGGAGTAAATATTGTTTCTTTCAATGTCGACATTAAAGGAGTTGCTAAATGGTAAGTATATTTACTTGTGGAGCTTTGACCATGAGTTTTGAAATTGTTTCATACAATTTTAGTCATTTTGGGGGGTTTCAAGTTCAAGTTCAATCTTGAATACAGAAAAAAAAAACAGTTTCTAGGATACTACAATGTTGTCAAAATTAATCAGTATCTATAAGAGTACACTATCTGTGTTTGTCATGCTTGCATTTTATAAATTGGTTTCATTTTAATATCAAAAGTTATTGGTAGAGGACTTTGTTGTTTTTTTTACAAAAATCTTATTCTGGATGTAAGCATTGATTTATGATTCAGGACAATTTCAGTCTTCATGTCCTATAATGAATGAAATAGATACAGTAGACCTGTCACTTTTCTTTCTATTACAGGCAGAACTTAGAGTTGCGAGATGGTGGAAGAGCAACATCACCTCTGCTGAATCATGATCTCTCTATGACAAAGTCTTTATCCTTTCTAACCAGATATAACATGCTATGGATCCACTACAGGAGAAATACCACAGGGGACGTCATCATGTCGGACACCAATTTCTCATTCAATTTGTATTTCAAAACACACAGTAAGTTTATATAAGGGAATGAAATGTGAAATCTTGGTACAAAAATTTTGAATTAGGTAAAGAATGTCAATTTAATGTTTTACAAAGTCAACATTAGCTTTGTACATTCAGAAATATGTAATACAAATAATTTTTTCTATTGTCAGATTAGGATTTTTGAAACCAATGGAGAGCTCACTTTTAATATCTTTATATGACACTTTATATTTGTGTTTGATGTGACTTTTTAAAACAAAACAAAAATTTACCTTGACAAAGTGTGACTGAAAGTTTAATTTAATGTTTAAAGAAGTTATATTTTTCCCATTCTTGTTTATTTATTATCTAGGCTGTGACAGTAAGCACCAGTGTAGAAATGGTGTATGTTTACATCCTGACTGGAAATGTAATGGCGTGGATGATTGTGGTGACAATACAGATGAGGCAGACTGTATCTCATCTTCTAAAGATAAGGGAGGTAAGTCATGTGTTTACATCCTGACTGGAAATGTACTGGTATGGATGATTGTGGTGACAATACAGATGAGGCAGACTGTATCTCATCTTCTAAAGATAAGGGAGGTAAGTCATGTGTTTACATCCTGACTTGAAATGTAATGGTATGGATGATTGTGGTGACAATACAGATGAGGCAGACTGTATCTCATCTTCTAAAGATAAGGGAGGTAAGTCATTTGTTTACATCCTGACTGGAAATGTACTGGTATTGATGATTGTGGTGACAATACAGATGAGACAGACTATCACATCTTCTAAAGATAAGGGAGGTAAGTCTTGTGTTTACATCCTGACTGGAAATGTAATGGTATGGATGATTGCATACCTGCCAACTTTCAAGATTTAGGTGTATATGTAACAGCCACTATGTTCCATCAGTTACTTTGTTCCGATGGAACTTTTCAACTAGTTATTTCGTTCGGATGGAACTTTCAAACTAGTTGTTTTATTCCTAGTGCAGTCGAAAAGTTCCGGAAAAAAGTAGCTAGTTGAAAAGTCCCGGAACAGTGTAGCTAGTTGAAAAGTTAACCGTAACCCTAACCCTAACCTAACCCTAACCCTATCAAAGAGGAACTTTGTGACTAGTTGATAAGTTCTGTTTGACTTTTGTGGCTAGTATCTTTGTTCCCCTTTGAAAAGGTTCAAAGATAATATGTTGTGCTTTTACTTTGCATCAATTCTCCAAATGGAACATTGTGACTGGTTGATAAGTTCCGTTGGAACTTTTGGGCTAGTAGTTTGTTAGTTCCGGTTTTGACTTATTTGCCAAAGAGGAACTTTGTGGCTAGTTGATAAGTTCCTTTTGACTTTTGTAATCAGTATCTTGGTTTCCCTTTGAAAGGTTCAAATATAATATGTTGTGCTTTTACTTTGCATCAATTCTCCAAATGGAACTTTCTGCCTGGTTGATAAGTTCTGTTGGAACTTTTGGGCTAGTTTGTTAGTTCCGGTTTTGACTAATTTGGCAAAAAGGAACTTTCTAACTAGTTGATACGTTCCGTTGGAACTTTTCAACTAGTCACTTTGTTCCGGTGGAACTTTAAAACTAGAGGAAGAACAAAGTAACTAGTTAATAAGTTCCTCTGGAACTTTTCGGCTAGTCAGTTCTTTCCGCCCGGAACTTTCCAACATCGGAACAAAAGAGCATTTACATTTACTACACGATTTTGACCCCTTGTCACAATTGCACAATCGTGATCATGAAAAAACCTCTAAAACATGATTTTGTGAATATCTACACGAAAAAATATGATTGTTCCTGATTTTGAACTGTTCCCAAGGGAAGACAATCGTGATCAGCCAATCAAAGTCTGTGTTTCTCATGATCAAATTAATAAGCCAATCAAAAACGTTTTCTCTCAAGATTATTGGGACATGCTATATTTTGAACTTGTGTTGTATTCCTCTGTGTGTTAGTCAGAATTGTAAAATCGTGAAAATGGCAGGTAAATTTTCATCTGCAATGAGGTTCTTACACAGCTTAAGAATAAAAGCATGGCTGATTGACAAAATTCAATGATGCAGTACTACCATAAAGATAATAAATATTAGTTTATTCACTAACTTATTGACATTACACTTGCTGTAACATATCATATACTACAGTTGTCATTTTTGTATTAAACTAAATTACCAAATCATTTTAAGTATAATGTTCTATTCTTTATTTTTCACAAGGACCAAATAAATGTCCTTCTTTGAGTATAATTTTAAATTGGAAAAGTAAACAATCATTTAATATTCTTACACAAGAAAATAAATCCTGGTATTCTAGCTACATGTTCATCTTTTCTACTGATATAATAACTAGAATCACGCAAATAAACAGAAGAAAAAGGCTTGTAAGCTCATAATACAAATATGACACTTTTTCTAGACCACAAAACAGCACGCGCAAAACACATTGCAAAGAATTGTAACCATTGAAATTGAAGTCACGCACTAAAACCCCCATGGGGATTTTCAAAAGTTGGCAGGTATGTGATTGTGGTGACAATACAGATGAGGCAGACTGTATCACATCTTCTAAAGATAAGGGAGGTAAGTCATGTGTTTACATCCTGACTGGAAATGTAATGGTATGGATGATTGTGGTGACAATACAGATGAGGCAGACTGTATCTCATCTTCTAAAGATAAGGGAGGTAAGTCATTTGTTTGCATCCTGTCTGGAAATGTAATGGTATTGATGATTGTGGTGACAATACAGATGAGGCAGACTGTATCAAATCTTCTAAAGATAAGGGAGGTAAGTCATTTGTTTACATCCTGACTGGAAATGTACTGGTATGGATAATTGTGGTGACAATACAGATGAGGCAGACTATCACATCTTCTAAAGATAAGGGAAGTAAGTCATCTTACAGAAAATTTTCTTTGGAGATTTAGAAATATAATCGTGTGAACAAAGCAGGGTATATGATATCTCCTGACAATAAAAAAAGGTACTCCTAAGCCCCATACTCTGGTGTCTGATAGCCATACTCATGTTTTTGTAAATCATACTCAGATATTTTTAGCCATACTCAGGTATATTGTTAGCCTTAATCATGTATTTTTTAGCCATACTCGGAGGTATCTAGTAGCCGTACTCAGATATTCATTAGCCACAGTTGGGTATTTGTTAGCCACAACTCAGTTTTTTGTCTCGCCTGCGACGAAAGTCGCAGTATGGGATACTTAGGTATTACTATCTGACAGGGGCGTAAACTATTTATATAAAGTTTTATATTTCAGAAGGTAGGAGACCTGGATGCTTCATATCTTGTATGCAGATACCTTATGTTACGAAGTTTCCATCTGTCATAGGTCAATTGTCCTTGACCTCATTTTCATGGTTCAGCGACTGCTTGGGAAAAACACTTTTTTTTTCATGTGAATTTCTCACTTGTTATGAGTAATACGATAACTATATTTTGTATATGGGTTCCTTGCAATGTCTACATGTCTGCCAGACAAGGTTCACCTGACCTGGACCTCATTTTATGGATTAGTGATCAAGGTTAAAGTAACGTGATAGGTCCGTTTCTCAAATACTATAAGCAGTAGGTAAACTATATGTGGTGTATGGAATTATTGTAATGGGTATATGTCAGTCTAGCAGATATCATATGACCTTGACCTCATTTCATGGTTCATTGGTCAATGTTAAGTTTTTGTGTTTTGATCTGTTTTTTAAATACTAATAGTAATAGTTCATCTATATTTGGTGTATGGAATAACTGTAAGGTGAACATGTCTGTATGGCAGGTATAATCTGACCTGGACCCCATTTTCATGGATTATTGGTGAATGTTAAGTTTTTGTGATACCTATAGTAAAACCTTTATCTTCAAGACTTGCGACATAAAATCAATGGTCAGAAAGCCGGCGAGATATTTCAGCGTGTGCACACTTGTGTTAGCCATACTCTGGTATTATTTAGCTGTTCTCACATATTTGTTAGCCCTACTCAGTTATTTGTTAGTCTACTCAGTTATTGTTTAGCCATACTTAAGTATCTGTTAGCCATATTGAGGTATATGTTAGCAGTCGCGGTGGGGGCATTAAGTTTTACCCTTGTTATGCCCCCACCGTAGCAGTAGGGGCAATAAGTTTTACCCTTGTTGGTACGTACGTACGTCCGTACGTACGTCCCAAAATTGGTTTCCGTTCTCTAACTTGAGTTTGCCTCAACCAAATATTATGAAACTTATACACATTGCTTATTACCACAATACACAGATGAAGTTTGAATTTTGGGGGCGTCACCTCAACCGTTCTAGAGTTATGCCCCTTTATAAATGGAAAAATTGCAAAATTTTTAGTTTCCGTTCTCTAACTTAAGTTTGCCTCAACCAAATGTTATGAAACTTACACACAATGCGTATTACCACAAAACACAGATCAAGTTGGAATTTTGGTGGCGTCACTTTAACCGTTCTAGAGTTATGTCCTTTATAAATGGAAAAATTGCAAAATTTTTAGTTTCCGTTCTCTAACTTAAGTTTGCCTCAACCAAATGTTATGAAACCTATACACAATGCTTATTATCACAAAACACAGATCAAGTTTGAATTTTGGTGGCGTCACTTAAACCGTTCTAGAGTTATGCCCTTTATAAATGGAAAAATTGCAAAATTTTTATTTTCTTCTAAATATCAAGTAATTTTTAAAATTGGAGTTATCTTCCTTTGTCCATGATTATAGTTGAATCAACTACAATCAATGCTTTATACAATGCAATGTTTAATTTTGACTTCCACTGATAAAACACAGATAAAGTTGAATTTGGGTAGTGTCACTTTAACCATTATTGAGTTATGCCCCTTTATAAATCGAAAGATTGCAAAATTTTTAGTTTCCATTTTAAATACAAATTTTTTGTTTCCGTTTTCTAACTTTAGTTTGCCTCAACCAAATGTAATGAAACTCATACACAATATTTATTACATTGTACTACATAATACAGATTAAGTACGAAATTAGGTGGCGACACTCTTACCATTCTTGAGTTATGTCCCTTTATAAACATAAAAATTGCTGATTTTTTTAGTTTGTCTCAACCAAATGTTATAAAACTTATACACAACCGTTCTAGAGTTATGCGTGTTTACAAATAGAAAAATTGCTGAATTTTTAGTTTCTGTTCTCTACTTAAGTTAGCCTCAACCAAATGTTATGAGACTTACACACAATGCTTATTACCACAAAACTCAGATCAAGTTCAAATTTGGGTAGCGTCACTTTTACCGTTCTTCAGTTATGTCCCTTTGTAACTATATGATATGCAAGCGGGGGCATCATCTGTGTCCACATGTGGACACTATCCACATTTATTTTATTTGGTGTTTCTATAGAATATTTTGGAAACTTGAGGTTACATGGTTACTAAAGCTTGTACACAGGAAAAAAAGGGTTGACAATTTGATTGGTTAACTTCCAGTTATGGTTATTTTCTTATATGCAATGAAATGTTATGTGAAATTTTGTCTATAGTACTGGACAGGATAAAACTTTACTCATGCCAAGTATTTCTTTATTTGAAACAAAGATAAATTCTGCACAATTTTTTGAAAAATGCAAATTTAACAAAGACTAATAAGGGAAAATCAATGGTGGTATTACACCTATACTCAAGTATGTGTAAGCCATATTGAGGTAATTTTACACACTCAGAAGGATCTTATTTTGATGTGAGTAAAGGCACAGGTATTTGGTTTTTATAAATTTCACATTTTACTGATCATTATTTTCTCACAGCAGCCCATATTGTATATGTATTCAGATATTTTTGGGGAATTACATTTAATGGCTTCATATCTATTGCAAATAAAGTTAAACTCAATTTATGTTTTTTGTTTGAAAAGGATAATTGATGCCTGAAAATAAAATGAAATTATGATATGGAAGGAGAAAGTTCCCACAATTTTGATTGCTATTGAAGAGTGCCAGAAACATTTGTTGATTTTGAAACAAAAAGAAACAAATTATTAATTGAATATAAGAAAAAAATATTGGGATTTGAAACTAACTGATACTGTCTACATTTTAAGTTTGGAATCAAATAGATAAAAGTAATCAAATGTTGAACAATTCAGGTAAAGTCATCAAATATTTAGAATTAATTAGGGACCCGCCGAATGGCGGGTTGCCCTATAGTGATCAGTCTGTCTGTCTGTCTGTAAGTAACAAATTGTGTCTGCTCTATATCTAGAGAACCGTTATGATTTCATACTTAATACTTGACATGTACATTAACCAACACCAGAGGGAGTGTCATAATGTTTGTACAACTTCCTAGGTCAAAGGTCAAGGTCAAAAACTTTGGTTTCAGTTGACAACCCTATGTCCTATGGTAAAAATCGTGTCCGCTTTGTACATCTTGAGAACCTTTATGATTTCAAAGTTTATACTTGACATGTATATTAACCAACACCAGAGGGTGTGTCATAATGTATGTACAACTTCCTAGGTCAAAGGTCAAGGGCAAAAACTTTGGTTTTCAGTTGACAACACCTTGTCCTATGGTAAAGATTGTGTCCACTCTATATCTAGAGAACCGTTATGATTTCAAAGTTTATACTTGACATGTACATTAACCAACACCAGAGGGTGTGTCATAATGTATGTACAACTTCCTAGGTCAAAGGTCAAGGTCAAAAACTTTGGTTTCAGATGACAACCCCATGTCCTATGGTAAAGATACAAATTTTTTACCACACGTAATTCACAGCGGGACCCACAGAGATGGCTCCCATCATAATGATGTCTAGTAATTTTTACTCTCTCTTTGGGATTTGAACATGGATCTATCATATTATCTGGCCATTTTATTCACAGGATTTTGCAACCTGATGTTACAATATTGTTAAAAAGCCATGTTGAATTCATGGGTGAAATAAAATCAGGATAGCACTTTAAGAGGAAGTACTGTTAACAGGATAAAATGCTTCAATGTGATAAAAGTTAAGAGAAAGAACTTTTGCAAAATGATAAATGTTACAGAGAAAAAACTGTCTAGTCAAGAAAAATCTCTTATAATGATAAATTTTTTTAATAGAATAGATTTTCTACAGCAGAAATATTATGGAGGGATAGGATTTTTAAAAGATTTCCTTGATGAAAATGAATTAATTCCTTACAGTTTAACAAGGTTGCAGAAAGGTTTCCTTTTATTCTACTTTTTAAAAGAAGTTATGTTATGATATTCTTGTCCATTTTATGGGTAATAAAGAACATGTTTTTGTTACATACTTCGTATTTTCATAAAATTATAATTTGACATACATGGAGAGAATATAACTCTTAATTGACATGACTTTTAGGGGTAACAATTTCCTCAGATTTCATGACTCACATGAAATTTTTCAATGACCTGCCACATAAAAAAAGTAACCTTTGCTTTTAATGTATGGCCTGTTTTCAGATTTTTACCTTTTAATATGCTGAAGTCTGATCACATTTTATGCCCAAAATGCAAAATTTATTTGTAAAGTACTTTTGAATTTTTATATTCTTCCCTGGACAGGAAATTTAATATTAAGACCTCAGCTGACTCTACAATAAACCATATTCCATTGATGAAAATATGGGTCTAGACATGGTTAACAGAATAGAGAATAATGAGCAAAAAAAATGAAGAACAGAAAATAATGGGCATAAAATATAAAGAAAAGAGAAAAATGAATTAAAAAATTTAAGAAACATAGGACCCTGGAAACAGACCCTCAATTATCTCATACCTGCCAACTATCCTGATTTATGGGGGATATGCCCCATGAGAGGTGAATTTTGAAATTCTTTATTTTATAAACAGAACACCTCAAAACAGGTATTCAAATGAGTAATAAGGGTATTTAAGCACATATATACTCATTCAAACAATTTAGTAGTAGATTAAGAACACTTATGACAAAAAAAGAGGAGCATAAAGTCCTCTTGTGCTAAAAACCCCCCATAGAGATTTTGAAAAGTTTGCAGGTATGGAATATCTTACTTTATTTGGGTAACACTGGATGCTTCTTTGTCAGTTATATTGTTAAGATTCTAAACTTCATGTATATGATATAAGTAGTTAATACAAGTTACAAATTGTTGTTCAAAATTTATATACAGTTCTCAAATTATTTTCAGTGAAAGTATGGTTGACAGCTGTCTTGTGCAGCATCTGTTTTCTGATTGGAGTTGTCTTGGCGATAGTACTACCAGCCCTCTATAAAAGGTGTAAATATCCTAACTACAACCAGCTTAAAGATATCATGGATCCTTCCATCTCATAAATTGTTGTTCCTATGGAGATACTTGTTGGACAACAGTCACTAAGATAATATTCTTGTTATAAATGTACTGTTTTGAGAAAAAATGGGACGGAAAATCAGCACTGTGGTGAATTTGCTTTGAAAATAAACTAACGTGTGTAAATGAGCTGTCTATAGAAGCAACATGAGGTTACTTCTAAGCATATATATAGAATAATGGCATTTTTGTTTTTGATACTGACTTTATCAGCAAGAATATCAAGCAAGCTTGTTAGGGCGAGCTGATATTCTAGCTGATGAAGTCAGTATAAAAAAATATGCTATAGAAAAATATAAGGCAAAATGATCAAACGGAAAATGTACAAATTGCTGATAAATATGTATGTTTTATTTGTAATGGGGGAACATATCTTACTTTGAGGGTTTTTTCACTGATATTTTTTGTGAAAAAGGGGAGATAATACAAATTCAAAACATTTTCCATTGCCTGTTGCAAATACATTATAAGTATGTCTGATAAGTCCAATGCTTATTTTTGATAAATTATGTAAAACTTATGTTGCTTCTCAGCAGGTTTTTATTATCAGATTTACCTTGTTTATTGTTAAAGTTAAGATTCTATTTGTTTGTACTTTTGGTATTCTACATTGCTGATGAGTAAAGACAAGTTTGTTGTAAATATGTTACGATTCGGGTTGTCAAGTTTTGAAATATAAACGTTTTTTAACCGCAAATTTAAAAAAAAATTTTAGTATTGTTTATATAAGTCTCTATAATTAACGTTTTAGTTTGTGTCAGTTTTTTACCTTGACTTCATAAGAAAAAAATCCTGTTTTGGTATTTTCAACATACACTCTAGGTATTTCTAAGGTATTTAAGTGTATGTTCCTAGCATAATATTTGGTCCACATGATTTATGTGTCCAGTATAACACTTTGTAACTTCTTGAATTTACTGTTCAGTGTTGTTTGAAGTTAATTTACTGTTCAGTGTTGTTTGAAGTTTCCTAGGTGACAGACGGCAGTTGTATCATGCTGAATTTTTCTGTATTTATTTTTTTGTCACAGGGATATATATTATTTGATAATTTAAATCATTCTGCATATTCCAGCAAAACTACTTTAATATTATAAGAATAATTAGCAGTTGCAATAAAATTTCAATTGACCTATGTGCTACTCATACACCTTTATAAAGCAAATTTTTGCTAAAAAGTATGCTGAAAATTTGAAAAAGGTTATAATTTCAACTTGGTTTAAATGGTTCATCTCTTATTAAGTCTCCCAAACAAAGTTTGGGAAGACTTATTGTTTTTGCTCAGTTCTTATTAAGTCTCCCAAACGAAGTTTGGGAAGACTTATTGTTTTTGCTCAGTTCTTATTATTATTATTATTCTTCTTCTTCTTCTTCTTCTTCTTCTTCTTCTTCTTCTTCCGCCGCTTTTAAATTTGAACTTGTCCGCACCTGTTCTCCAAAACCGCTTGTCAGATTAACTTAGGGTTTCACAATATGTTAGACTAACATGTCTAGTGGTGCAATCAGGGTTTTGTTTGTGCAATGGGGTTTATAAAGGGGTACTTTGAGGGGCAAAAAGAAAAGAGGGTTTTACTATAGAACCCTATGGGATTTTATTTTTTTTAATTTTCAAATGATTATAAATTGAAAACTGTTTGTGATAGACACAATCTTTTTAATTGAAAATGTTCTAAATGATAAAGCCCATTAATTGAAAAACAGGGTTAGTCCCCCGGGGCCACCCCCACCCCCTGCCATTTAAGAAAGTTCTAATACCTTGTAAGTGGTCAAGATCCCCACCCCTAAACCATATATATTTTGGTTTGTTATGCTAAGATGGTTTGAATGATATACAGGGTTAGTCCCAAGGGGTCATCCCGACCCCCTGCCATTTGAGAAAGTTCTAATATCTTGTAAATGGTCGAGATCCCCACCCCTAAACCATATATATTCTGGTTTGTCATGATAAAGCACATCAAATGTAATACAGGGTTAGTCCCCAGGGGTCACCCCCACCCCCTGCCATTTAAGAAAGTTCTGATATCTTCTAAGTGGTCAAGATCCCCACCCCTAAACCATATATATTCTGGTTTGTCATGCTAAGATGGTTTGAATGATATACAGGGTTAGTCTCCAGGGGTCATCCGGACCCCCTGCCATTTGAGAAAGTTCTAATATCTTGTAAATGGTCGAGATCCCCACCCCTAAACCATATATATTCTGGTTTGTCATGATAAAGCACATCAAATGAAATACAGGGTTAGTCCCCAGGGGTCACCCCCACCCCCTGCCATTTAAGAAAGTTCTAATATCTTGTAAGTGGTCAAGATCCCCACCCCTAAACCATATATATTCTGGTTTGTCATGCTAAGATGGTTTGAATGATATACAGGGTTAGTCCCCAGGGTTCATCCCGACCCCCTGCCATTTGAGAAAGTTCTAATATCTTGTAAATGGTTGAGATCCCCACCCCTAAACCATATATATTCCTATTTGTCATGTCTCGAACATTTGAATGACGTATACAGTCAGTCCCCAGGGGTTCCCCCCACCCCCAATGTTCTAATATCTTGTAAATGGTTGAGATCCCCACCCCTAAACCATATATATTCCTGTTCGTCATGTAATGACCATTTGAATGATGTATAGGGTCAGTCCCCAGGGGTTCCTCCCCACCCCCAATGTTCTAGTATTTTGTAAATGGTCGAGATCCCCCCCCCCCCCCCTAAACCATATATATTCTGGTTTGTCATGCCAAGATGATTTGAATGATATACAAGGTTAGTCCCCAGGCATCACTAATGCATATAACTTTACTGGACCAAACCAATTTTCACTGGACGTTGCCCAATGTCAGGCGACCCTGGGAATTACGAATTATGGGAGCTTCGTTTGGGAGACTTCGTAACAGCATCCTGTTACAATCATTTCTTGTTATTATTATTATTATTATTCTTCTTCTTCTTCTTCTTCTTCTTCTTCTTCTTCTTCCGCCGCTTTTAAATTTGAACTTGTCCGCACCCGTTCTCCAAAACCGCTTGTCAGATTAACTTAGGGTTTCACAATATGTTAGACTAACATGTCTAGTGGTGCAATCAGGGTTTTGTTTGTGCAATGGGGTTTATAAAGGGGTACTTTGAGGGGCAAAAAGAAAAGAGGGTTTTACTATAGAACCCTATGGGATTTTATTTTTTTAAATTTTCAAATGATTATAAATTGAAAACCGTTTGTGATAGACACAATCTTTTTAATTGAAAATGTTCTAAATGATAAAGCCCATTAAGTGAAATACAGGGTTAGTCCCCAGGGGTCACCCCCACCCCCTGCCATTTAAGAAAGTTCTAATACCTTGTAAGTGGTCAAGATCCCCACCCCTAAACCATATATATTTTGGTTTGTTATGCTAAGATGGTTTGAATGATATACAGAGTTAGTCCCCAGGGGTCATCCTGACCCCCTGCCATTTGAGAAAGTTCTAATATCTTGTAAATGGGCGAGATCCCCACCCCTAAACCATATATATTCTGGTTTGTCATGGTAAAGCACATCAAATGAAATACAGGGTTAGTCCCCAGGGGGCACCCCCACCCCCTGCCATTTAAGAAAGTTCTAATATCTTGTAAGTGGTCAGGATCCCTACCCCTAAACCATATATATTCTGGTTTGTCATGCTAAGATGGTTTGAATGATATACAGGGTTAGTCCCCAGGGGTCATCCCGACCCCCTGCCATTTGAGAAAATTCTAATATCTTGTAAATGGTCGAGATCCCCACCCCTAAACCATATATATTCTGGTTTGTCATGATAAAGCCCATTAAATGAAATACAGGGTTAGTCCCCAGGGGTCACCCCCACCCCCTGCCATTTAAGAAAGTTCTAATACCTTGTAAGTGGTCAAGATCCCCACCCCTAAACCATATATATTTTGGTTTGTTATGCTAAGATGGTTTGAATGATATACAGAGTTAGTCCCCAGGGGTCATCCCGACCCCCTGCCATTTGAGAAAGTTCTAATATCTTGTAAATGGTCGAGATCCCCACCCCTAAACCATATATATTCTGGTTTGTCATGGTAAAGCACATCAAATGAAATACAGGGTTAGTCCCCAGGGGGCACCCCCACCCCCTGCCATTTAAGAAAGTTCTAATATCTTGTAAGTGGTCAGGATCCCTACCCCTAAACCATATATATTCTGGTTTGTCATGCTAAGATGGTTTGAATGATATACAGGGTTAGTCCCCAGGGGTCGTCCCGACCCCCTGCCATTTGAGAAAATTCTAATATCTTGTAAATGGTCGAGATCCCCACCCCTAAACCATATATATTCTGGTTTGTCATGATAAAGCACATCAAATGAAATAAAGGGTTTGTCCCCAGGGGTCAAACCCACCCCCTGCCATTTAAGAAACTTCTAATATCTTGTAAGTGGTCAAGATCCCCACCCCTAAACCATATATATTCTGGTTTGTCATGCTAAGATGGTTTGAATGATATACAGGGTTAGTCCCCAGGGGTCATCCCGACCCCCTGCCATTTGAGAAAATTCTAATATCTTGTAAATGGTAGAGATCCCCACCTCTAAACCATATATATTCTGGTTTGTCATGATAAAGCATATCAAATGAAATACAGGGTTAGTCCCCAGGGGTCACCCCACCCCCTGCCATTTAAGAAAGTTCTAATATCTTGTAAATGGTTTAGATCCCCACCCCTAAACCATATATATTCCTATTTGTCATTTCTCGAACATTTGAATGACGTATACGGTCAGTCCCCAGGGGTTCCCCCCACCCCCAATGTTCTAATATCTTGTAAATGGTTGAGATCCCCACCCCTAAACCTTATATATTCCTGTTCGCCATGTAATGAACATTTGAATGACGTATAGGGCCAGTCCCCAGGGGTTCCTCCCCACCCCCAATGTTCTAGTATCTTGTAAATGGTCGAGATCCCCACCCCTAAACCATATATATTCTGGTTTGTCATGCCAAGATGATTTGGATGATATACAAGGTTAGTCCCCAGGCATCACTAATGCATATAACTTTACTGGACCAAACCAATTTTCACTGGACATTGCCCAATGTCAGGCGACCCTTGGAATTACGAATTATGGGAGCTTCGTTTGGGAGACTTCGTAACAGCATCCTGTTACAATCATTTCTTGTTTCCCTTGATGATGTATTTTATGTACAGATTTAGTTGTATTTACAATTTTTAAACAACATTCCCACTTCCTTATATATGATATTGCTTAGTAGCATTCCCAAGATTCCAATGTTTAGATATTGCACATTCCATAGGTATCAAAATTTAGAGTTCAATGAACATTTAACCAATTAATAAAATGAACTGTATGTTGGAAAATGAAATATTCTAAAGAAATTAAATTCCCATTTTAGTTTACAGTAAGCTTTCTTTTATTAAAAAAATTCTGATTTGAAATGTTGAAAAAATCTTTTGTTTGATATATACATGTAGATTGTAAGAAAGAGGTGAGAATTCTGATAGATTTTTTTAATGTAAAATATAGTTTTTTTTCAGTTTTGATGGTATTTGTTGACATAATGTTGATTCACAATTTTTATCTTCCAGATTTATTTTTTAATTTCATTGATTGTTTGTTTATGCATATGTTGTATTTGTCATTTTGTCCATAATAATGGGATCCTTTTATTGGATAGAATTAAATAAACAATGTTTTTAATGTACAGATCATGTTGTAACACTTTTTATTGAAATATAAATGGTAATCTGTGTGAAATTGTCAGACACAGCAAAATAAACTGTTAGCTGTTATGTTATAAAAATAAGGCAGGAGGGAAAAAAAATTTGTATGATGAATCTGTTGTAAAAATATGTTGTGTTATAAAAATAAGGCAGGAGTGGAAAACTTTTTGTATGATGAATCTGTTGTAAAAATATATATAATTTTAGTATCTTTGATTTAATAGCTTAAGTTTTGTATTGTGTTTTTTGTGTTTAATGCAATTTTTGTACATTCATACAATTGAATGGCTAAGTTTGTTTATGTGAAACAGTTGGAAATTTCATCTAGATCTTTTACATAACTGTAGATTGAGTATACATTATTAAACAGGAAAGATTTGTTTTCCATTCAGTTAAAAACTTGTCTCATTTCCAGATCTTATTACACAACTATATCATGAATTGGTTTGTCCTTGCAGCATCTCAGTTTCTCAACTTAGAGATGTTTGAACTCTGTCATAGATCCCAGATAACTAATATTTTCCTTACTTTTGTATTTGCTGCAGGATGTTATTTTTTGGAATTAAAGTTGATGAGTTTCCCTCAAATCTTTATGTTTTAATACCTGAAATTATTGTATTTTTAAAACAGACTTCATTATCTGTTCCTGTTGTCATTTAATTTGTTTAAATGTATATATGATTTTTTTGCTTTGATTTATAGAATTTTACTTTTTACAAATGACAAAAATGGCTCTATTCTGTTGTATGTAATTTTATACTAAGAAAGAAAATTGCGAAGAATATTTAATACAAATATTCATAAGTACTCCAAGCAGCTGCATTTACTTTTGGCATGTTTGTGCCAATTTTTGAGTTTAGTGTTAGTGTTTTGGTTAGGTTTATTATTGGTTGTACATTTAAGTTTATTTGAGAAGATTAGGACAATATTAATTTTATTTTAAGGTTAAATTAGAAATAATATGTTCAGATAATTAATGCTTGTTGGATTGTGGTTTTTAGTAAAGGTGCATGCATTAAATGTTCAGCAATCAGTTACTGTGTGATGTGGCTTGAATTAAATGTTCAGCAATCAGTTACTGTGTGATGTGGCATGAATTAAATGTTCAGTTATCAGTTACTGTGTGATGTGGCATGAATTCAATAAATATTTGCAATTTTAGTGATATTGGTTGTAAATTTACAGTCGTGCAAATGCACAGTTGTATATTCATACCAGGAATGTGTTTATGAAGATTGTTTATACTTAAATTTGCCACTTTTTTTTTTACATAGATCAGAATCCTATAATCTTAGGGTACTTAAACTTTATTGATATTTTTTGTTTACATGTATGGAATGTATGACAATTTTAGAGACAGTTATTTAATAAAAACTGGAGTATATGTCCTCCATCCTGAATTCTTAATCTAAAGAATTTATGGCTTAATTTTTTTTTATTTGACTTGAGTGAAGGGAATTGGTTAGCCTACATATGTCAACTTTCAGTCAAAATCAGTCTAATATTACTTACTTATCCTATTATTGAAATTTTCTCACCATCCCTAATTATCTCTCTTCCACTTCTCACTTAAATTTTTGTAAATTTCCCTCTTCGAATCTCATTTGTACCTTTCAGCTGATTTTTTATTCATATGTATGAATTGATTAATTTTGGATAATTACCCCTTTGAATCTCCCATTTTGCCCTCCGTTAACATTTACCTTAAGAATCTCCTTTCTATATAATTATCAATTGAATTCTGTTATTTTCATTTATATTTTCAACCTCTTAGAACATAAACAGCTAATAGAAAAGATTCTTTAAATGCAAGAATTCATATCAGTTAAAATATGAAGTAGCAATAATGCATCTGTATTTTGTAATGAAGAGAAGATGACTTAGAATATTATGAAGATGGTGTGACAGAAGTGTGAAGCGAAGGGTAACTTGGACTTCCTCCCTTAAGTTCTATTTTACAAGGCTAGTCATTATACCACTTAGTAGTCTATAAACACAAATGTTGTTATTCAAACTTATTTGGAATATCCTGTATCAGTAAAATGGGATACAAACTTGTTTTCATTTAATGTTTTATAGAATTTATGCTTTTTGTGCTTCAAAAATGTGTATAGATTTGATCTGCAAATAAAGTTTAACATTTTACTTTGTCTTCTCTTATACCTTTGTGCCTTGCGTATATAATATTTATTCAGGTTTCTATTATAATTTTACAGATCCAAAGACTAGCTTGGTGAAGAAATAAGTTGACAATAATTATTGATTTTTATCAATAGAAATATATACGTACATAACCCTTTATTTAAGTTATTTCGTCAGATTGGAAATATAAAACTCCTGTTGTTCAAGTGCCTCATAGTTTAAAATTGTTTTATCTCTGGCAACCATTGATTTATTGCGTCTGCAGTTGATCAGTTTTATGGGAAAATGATGACCGTGTACAATATTAATTTGATTTTTATTTGTAAATCTTTTTTACATTCTCATGGTCAGTGCCCTGTTTGAACTTGATTCTTTATTTTTTGTCTCGCCTCGACAAGTCACAAAGGACAGACTTTAGGTGTTCTTCTTCCAGTGGGGGTGGCGCCAATAATTTGTTAAAGATTGCGATAAAGGTCGGTTTCAGGGGAACCACTTACAGTAAGTCTATAATAAGTAATGTATTTGATATGCACAGGTGCACTTCTCATTTCCATGTAGATTGTATTGCCTAACCCGCTCAGTCAAAGTAATAGACTTTGACACTTTTGCTTAGTTCAAATGTTCAAGTTTATGATTAGGTCAGTTTAAAGGAAACCACAAATAATTAGTCAATGATATTTAGTATGCAGTTGTATTAACAGTGCACATCTCATATCCATGGAGATTATTTAGTTCTGTCCCGATAGTCATGGTCTTTTGATTTGAAACTTTTCCACAGTTTTCGTATTTAAATTTGTGATTAGGACAGATTAAGATGAACCATTAATGGTGAGTCCATGAAATTTTTTAGTGCAGTTGCATAAGTCTTATTTTCATGGAGATTATATGGCCGCAGCCCTTCTGCCATGGTTAATTGACTTTGGACCTTGTGCATAGTTTGCATGTAAAGTTTGAGATAAGGCTAGTTAACATATTAAAGTATTACCACTTTAATTTTCCAGTGTAGGCATAACTGCTTTTAATACATTGTAGACTTTTCTACGTATTTACAACAATGTCTTGCACACTTGTTAAAACAAAATTAATTACTGTAAATTCAGAAATTATTGTGTGCATTTATCATTGCAATTTTGTCATTTTAGTCTAAAACGCGATTTAAATTTTTGCGATATTGAGAAAAATCCTGTTTAATTCATATAAAAAATTTCAAAATGTTAGTTTAAATTATTGCGATTATAATCCTGTCGCATTTTTCATAATAATAAAACATCGCAATAATTTCTGAATTTACAGTATTCTATTTAATTGTTACATGAAAAAAGGTTGTCACTGTATTTCGGGAAGAAAACTCTTAGATGGTCATACATTTGATGAATACCTCTAGAGAAATTATTTCATTTGGTTTGTCACTGATCAGTAGGTATAACAGTTTATCAGAAATGTGTGTGATACCCAAAATTCTGTAACCTGATCATATATTGGTGTCATCCTTGAATACTTCCATTTAAATAATAGTTGATAAGATTATTTTTAACAAATTAATCTCATGGACTTGATAAAACAAAAATCTTTATGACATTAGGGTCAGATAAAACAGAGTAAAATTACTACATTTAAACTTGCTCTGGAACTTGGTTTATATTAAGCTGCAAAACTGGTGGCATCAGACTTTAACATTTTAGGCATCTTTTGGCCACTTTATGTACTTTATGTGCACAAATTAGATGATTTGTAGGAGATGATACATTTCTTACGAAAATGGTGCTGGTTCATAGACTCTCAAACAGCGAAAAGTTCTAAATTTATTCTGTTGTTGTTAATTTGTATGGCATATTTTAAAAGAATTGAATAAGTATCATTGTTATAGGGAATGTTAAATATGGTTGCGTGTCAATGACTTTGAAAATGGTGTATGGTTGACATCTTGCATGCTTGTCTGACCTATCATGCATTTTATCTAGAGATGGATCAGGGTCAGATATTTGGTGTTTTATTTTGATAAATGAATACTTGGTTTCAAGTCTAACTGAACTTTCACTTGCTCTCTTGTGTGGGTTCATACTCACTGATAAGTATGAGAAGAATATGTCAATGAGACAGCAACCCAATGACAAAAAAACATCTAAAGGTAAAGACCATTCAATGTTTGTTTAATAATCATCCTTTTCTGGAAATTAATATGACCAAGTCTGTGTATGAGAAAGTTCAATTTCTAAACAACAAAATATTTAGATACTGTAAATTCAGGAATTATTGTGAGATTTTTATTAATGCGAATATTGCAACTCACATTCTGATATCATATACATAAATCTGTATGCTGATTTCCTGAAATTGCAAAAACTAATCTCGCATTTTTGTCCCTTCTTCAAAAATCATGATAATAAATGCATGCAATAATTTCTGAATTTACAGTAGTGAAGATTGTGCATTATCTATGGCTTTTTCTATGCAATGTATATATCTTGTGGTAACTGAGGTAAAAACGCTGCTAAATTTTGAGTCTATACTTTTTTATAATAACGTTAAACTGCGTGTAAATATGTAGATCAAGTCTTTAAGTTCCAGTAGTAAAGGAATAGGAAACATTATCCAAATGCCATGTGTGGGGAGAGTGTCTGGCTGTCTACACATTAAAGAACCCTTATAGCAACTATTTGAGCAGTCAGTAGGTTGCCTGTTGCAAGGTATAACCAACATACCCTTATTTTCACTGGCAGTAGAAATATCCCCCTTTAATTCCAATCAATCCACTTGTCAACGTCCTGAATAGGCATGAGATATTTGCCACTGGATATTAAGCAAATAACAATCAATCAATCAATTAAGGAATCGTCTTCCACTGAGGACACTGTTGGAACTGAAGGCAGGTCAGCGTTGTTGTAATTAACCTAGATTCTATTCGATATCAAATAGTTGTGTTTAAAGTTAACTTGTCAGTTAAATGATTTTCACAACCACTACCAAAACACAATTCCAAAATATTTAATATGATAATAACATTAAATAAATATCTCAACGGAAAGTACAGAAGACAATTTTGTGCAATTTACAAACTTGGAGTCTCTGTCGAAAGGCATCAATCCTACAACTAAAACAGCCAAAATACCTCATATTGTATTACAATTTACAAAGCACGAAAATATAGTTTTGCACAGGCATAACTACTACAAAAACAAATATTTATGCATACAATATCACTCCAAGTAATTCATTGCAATGAGACTTTATAAAATTAAATAAATAGAAACAATTTATAAATATGGAATAAGTTAACAATATTAATTGTTTTGATTTATCGAGTCCAACATAGAATTGTTTTCAATCTCCATTGAATACTTGCGCCTTTTCTTTGATCCTGGATTGGAACACCTTGAAATGCAATTTTTTTATTATTAAATTTAGTTCATGCATACGAATTTTCTATATTGTTTATTTTTGATGTTTGACTTTGGTGTTAAACGTCCAGTGGCAAAATATTGCATGCATATCGGAACGAGAACATGTTAGTGTAATCCTTTCTTGTATAAGACCGAATTTGTAATGTGTAAGACCACAAGTGAACGGTCTGCAAAAAGACATGTCACCATACCCAGACATATAATTCTGACCGAAAGCCGCCTTGTGTTTATTTTTACTCTTAGATGTCGTATGCTTATAGCGGAGAAGCAGCAGACACAAATTTCAAATCTTTACTTTGAACCTGTCCGCGTGGATTGCACCCACGAACACCAAGAGAGGTATTGACTATACTGAACTCTTTAACGATACATGTGTTGAGTAGAGATTAATATAAACATTTGTTAAGTAACATGTCAGACGATTTTTAAATAAAAAAAATTATACTCAAGGTGTAATACCACCAAATCATAGTACGATACGAAAATAGGTCGAAAAAAAATATTCCCTTGAATTTGACAGTTGTAGGTAATTGATCATACATTTCATTGCAGTAAAACATTTCTGAGTCATAAACATATATCTTGGGTATTTCAAAGCACCATTATTTCTTTATTTGGGGTTTCTATAGAATATTTTGGAAACTTGAGGTTACATGGTTACTAAAGCTTGTACACAGGTTAAAAAAGGGGGAAAATTTGATTGGTTAACTTCCAATGATGGTTATTTTCTTATATGCAATGAAATGTTATGTGAAAATTTTTCTATAGTACTGGACAGGATAAATCTTTACTCATGCCAAGTATTTCTTTATTTGAAACAAAGATAAATTCTGCACAATTTTTTGAAAAGTGCAAATTTAACAAAGACTAATAGGGGAAAATCAATGGTGGTATTACACCTCAAGGTTTTATTCCCTGCTTTGGTATGCCATCGATCGAGTAAATGACTACAAATAACTGGAGAAGCATTTCTACATATTTATCATTCATCATCCACATGAAGAGCAGGATATGCTTACCATCCCGGAGCAACTGCTACCCTTGTCATATTTAAAGGGTTTATTATTGCAGAAAATTTTTGTTTTTGGTGTTTGTTTTTTAGTTTCAATTTGGCATACTTTGGGTTAGCGATTGTGTTCTGCCTTCGTTCTGTTGGTTGAATCGACGTTTAAGGTCAAATTTGTTTTCATTTTAACATAATCTAGTTTGTAACTGTACTTTTCCTGTGCTCTTATAATGTTTTTCTGGTATATGATATGTATACAGGCTATTTTAGTCCAAGGATTTTTTTCTATAATAATCATTGTGTGGCCAAATACATATCTTTTAATAATTTTAATTTATAAACGGAAAATACAGGCTTTTATATTGAAAACAGAGACACACATATATATATTTATGTCCCTGGTAATGGGACATAATTGTGTCATACCAAAGCACTAAACTTATGCCATTGTAAGCTGTTAGTGTATTTCGATAGTCTATTCTTAGTGTATACTTACGTATTCCAAAATCTTCTTATGAAATAAATTAAATTACCAGTTATTACTATGGCAACTGATGCGAATATTATCACGAGGATGTCTGAAATATGCAAAAACATATATTGAAAAAGTAACATTCCAAGAAAGTGATTAGTAAAACGAGTTTCTTCATATACATTATATGTCTCTGATATTAGAATGCAGAATAGAGGCAACTCAAATTAAATTGTGGAGATTATGCTCAATGAAACAACTAAAATGCTTTAAAACGTGTAGTTAATAGAGAAAAAAACTCATGAAAGATACCAGGCTTAAAAATTTATACGCCAGACGCGCGTCTCGTCTTCAAAAGACTCATCAGTGACGCTTGAATAAAAAAGTCAAAAGGCCAAAAGAAGTACGAAGTTAGAGAGCATTGAGGATGAAAAATTCCGAAAGGTTTTGCCAAATAAGAGTTTGGAGTTTAATATCATTGTAATGGAGACAAATATTATGTATTAAGATTTTTGTTTACGAAAAACTTAAATTTAGGAAAATATATATATATATCACATTACCATAAGTGTGTTCAGGTTCTGTATTTTTCAAAGGACTGAGAATTGGCTGGCTTACGTTAAAAATATCGTCAAGTGAAATTGACCGGCTTACGTTGAAATTATCGTCAGGTACACACCGTCTGGATGTTATGTTCAAATTGCTATCTGAAAAATATACATTGAAGTGTTGAATAACATTTAGAAAAAAATGACTTTTTAAAGATTGATTTGGTAGCTAGGAAATTTGTGTGGCTTTAATATAATACGATCCCTTCATAAAATATACTAGTCAACAAAGAAAACCATACATAATGAAATTGGATACTCGATACCACGCTAACATAATTATGAATAGTTGCCATCATTTTCCGCAGTATAAACATGACTCCTTTGTTTAACAACACGGTATTTTCACATTTTCCGACTTTGTCAAATTTACGTATTCGTATGCATTCGCTTTGCAAACGAAAGCTTTTCGTTGGATAATTTAATAGTTTTTCCTATTCAATATACATCCGAGTTCAAACGTGTGTATCGTTACTTTTGTTGAATAATATGGTACTGTTATTTTCTAAAGGAGATATAAGAATGATTGAACCTCGAAGCCTAGTTCTCACACATTAGATATGCACATAATTTACAAAGAATTGTGAAAATATGCTTACAGGTACATACCTAATATTGGTCTAAATAATGAAATGACTGTACACAGTGCATTTGTTGTTTCAATCTTAGTCATGTCAATGCACATAATATTTGTTTCATCCTTTAAAAGTATTCCAGAAAGGTATGTAATTTGAATAATGCCTTTAACTAGTGCTATTATAGTTCTGTTGGCACCCGATCTTGCTCCTTGTTGTTCTTGTAGAATGTATTCCTGGATAATGTTCAAAGCCAAAGGACTATTGGCAACTCCTTCAGTTCGCAAACTTTTCAAGGATGAAATTGCTTCTAAAAGCGATGTTTTATTTTTGTGATCACTTAGAGCAAATTCTACTCGAGCAGAGCTCGAAAATGTCAATATTGAAACTAATGTATCATTTTGTCCAATGGCGAAGAAATCCGTCATGTTGTATATAAAGTCGATATTAAGAAGGAACTCGGTTTCTGTGACATTCGATGACCGTTCTATTGCAAACACAATATCTGTAAATAAAGAAACAAATATACGTTTATTGAATACATCAACATTTCAAATTGTATCTATTCATTTGCTATAGTCAGGAATTTGGTCGAGGGTGGATATGCAGACTGCTGATACATGCACACCTTCTGCATGCTCACATATTGTGTTCATTTAATGATGTCATTCGCCGATGGTATTTTGTATGATGTGTTATTTTGTAATTAATGTACACTTTTATATTTAAATAGTGAGTAAAGCAAAGAGCGTTTTGTAAAAATCTTTACCATTGGTGCATATACAAATATGATAATCTATATGTATCGTATGTATCCTATAAGTTTTATTTGCTTTTGAAATAAAGTATTATTATTTATTTAGGACAGAATTTTTGAATTTTTTACTTGACTTTTGTTGTTTTCTTAAGCCCAATAAAAAGCACTTTGCAAATCAGGTAGTTTGAACTGAAGAAACAATAGATTAAAAAAAATAAATCAAATAAATAGTATGGGATAAAAATAATTGATATTATTACTCGTTCATAATCATTTACTCAGAACTTTTGAATTAAATGCATTCTTTCTTAACTTGTATGTTTTTCGTGCGGTGTTTTTTCCTTATCTTTTATTAGCCCACTAATCAAAATAAATGTAGTCGGGTTGATAATGAGTACTTCACAATGTCTTGATTCCCATCAGTGGTCGTCTTTTATTTGACCTTAATGATTTCTTTTGTTTATATTTTTTTGTGGATAGGTGTTGATGGCACTTTTTTTTATAGTCTATGATCAATTTATACACAAATTTAAAGCTTAGCATATTGTAAATACAACTATCTCTTTTTATGTAACGTATGTTGATGTAATTTTAGTTGATGTATTTTTAGACTTTGAAGTTACTATCAGATAACTAGTTCTTTTTTGTAATTATTCAACCAATTTGTAACCACGGACAGACGTTTGATATGGTTAACCTGTGCTGTTGGGATGCTGTCGAATTGACGCATATCCCATTTCACCTTTTAGGCAATACTATTTAAATAAATAGTGATATTCTTCTTATTTCTTTTTAATTTAAAATATTGACACCAAGGGTTGACTTGGGTATACATAAGGTAATATATGGGCTTCTACTGTCACGCAGTAAAATGTTTGCCGAATACGGAATCTGCTTCCCTGTTACGTTTAAAACACCTTCATTTTAATAGTTAAACATTTCAAATATTTGTATAAATAAGTAGAATTACTTCAAACTATTAGAGTAATAATTCACTTACCGTTAAAACTATGTTCAGCGGAAATAATATGAAGAAAAAGAATAAAATATCCAAAATGTTCGTGACATTTGACATTGACCATTCCCATTGCAATGACAGTGAACTATCAACATTTTTAGGATAACCAGTTTATTGTAAAGAGAGTCGAATAAAAATATCCCGCGGACAACGTGTAAAGAATGTAATCCTTTTCAGGGAATAAAAAGTCAAATACCAAATTATGTAAATATTGTCCTAATCCTAATTAACATATTCATTATATTGACAGTTATCAGTGGGTGATTGACAACTTTATATCTGATTTAATAATTGAATAATCCTCTTTTGTGCTTAATCAAAATAAAATATATACGAACGATTTTATCCTTTGTGCTTAATCAAAATAAAAAATATACGAACGATTTTATCTTTTGATATACTAGGAGTCACACTGACCGTATCTACATGTCACCACACTTCCTTAATTAATTCATTTATAAAAATAATGTATGATTGTTCATGTCTTTTATTATCATCCTGTTCTTATATGAAGTTCAAAATGAAACAATATCTATGTAGGTTATTTTTTTTCAAGGATTTATATAGTAAGTCTCACTAAGGAGTTTATATGACCTCCTTGGTCTCACCATGGAAGTATTATTTTCTATATAATACTTTCCTTGTCTCATTATATAAATCCTTGTTTTTTTTCCATCTAATTTATTATATATTTGTAGATAAAAAAATATGGTATTTATTTTTTTTATGGATCAAATTGTATTTGGTATTTCTAGCTGATACCAAAAATATAATTCTATTAACCTCTTTTACCGTTATACATACCTGGGACATTACATATTGTTAGTATACGATTCCCAGTACATACAGTGTACATGTACTCATGGAAAAGAAAATGTCAAATAAAACAAAATACGTTCCCCTTTCCTCAATAAATATATATAAAAAAAACTTAATGTTAACGGTTATAACATAAAAGCAGCTTGCAGACAATCTTTTCTGAAGAAGTGGGAGGCATATTAGAAAGCCGACAATGCCATAGTCCAGAATTCTAAATTCCGATCTCGGCTTAAGTATGTTGATAAATGGCCAATGTAAATTTTTTTTTGCACGTTTGTCTTAACGACAAATTTTGTGGATCTGCATGATTTTTTCGTTAATTGACCATTTCTGTTAAATACGTGTGAACTAATCTAAACAATGTGTTTTTATCACTGGGAGGTAAATACATAAGTCAAAGCTTGAATAATGAGTAATCTATTTTCTGATCAAAACATAAATAACAGGTTTTTGTAAAAGATATTCGTTTTCTATCAGATTGAAATTGTTGTTATCAGTTAGTGACAACCTTCATAAGCACTGCTTAACTGTATTGATGTTTATTTGTAGTATGCCATGAAAGCGGTATGGACTAGTGTTTCTCGTTTCTCGTTTTTTGTATAGATTAGACCGTTGGTTTTCCTGTTTGAATGGTTTTACACTAGTCATTTTTGGGGCCCTTTATAGCTTGCTGTTCGGTGTGAGCCAAGGCTCCGTGTTGAAGGCCGTACTTTAACCTATAATTGTTTACATTTTACACATTGTGACTTGGATGGAGAGTTGTCTCTTATTGGCACTCATACCACATCTTCTTATTTCTATATACAACAATGAGACAGCAACAAAACGGCAATAAAAAATCAAAATATCTTGTGACCATTTTATTCGGTTACTTTCGATAAAAATTTTTTTTTGCATACACAGATTTTTGTTGTTTAGGTTATGTATCAATTATAACAATTATCCTCAAATCTGGCAAAAATACAAATATGATGATATAATTGAAAAATAACAAAACAGTTATTTGAACACAAGTTATAATGTTTACTTGGATGTACACACGTAACGTTTTAGACATTGTGATGTCCAACTGAAACGGAAATTATATAAACACTAAAACATATCTTCCTTTACATGCCTCACCTTTCGTATTTTCCAGTGGCAAAAGCCAAAATGGACCAATCCGGTAAGAATCAAAATGAGTGGAAGAACATTCAGAACTTAAGGAAAATATCTCTTCTATCATTTGTGAATTTATTTCAATTCAAATGTTTATTGCAATGTAAACTTTAAACAATAAGTTTGTGACAAATACAAAATAAGTATACCACGGTAGGTATAGTATCCGGCTGAGATCGTGTTTTTTCGAGTGAATTGGTCCACTTTTTTTCGAGTGTAGATCAGGTTTTTTGTATGTATATTACATTCGATCAGATCGATTGACTGCTATTTCGCGAGTATAATAGTTTTTTTTGTGACTGTTAATCTTATTCTGAATGCTAAACATGTTTTGAGCCCAAACGACGCACAATTTCCGAGTAGTGTTTTATATTGTCCTTGTTTTTTAGAGAGAAACTTTTAAAACCTCCAGGTTTTTCAACAAATGGTCCTGGTTTTTGGAAGAAAATGTGAATGATAAAGAAGACATATATATATAGTGACACTCACCAATATCTGTCCCCTAAAAGTTGCCACCCTGCTCATTGTACTAAGAGCATCCCGTACAGTCAGGCACTCAGAGTCAAGCGAATATGTTCCAACTCAGAAACAAGTAAAAAACAACTACGTCAACTCGAAACCCGCTTGAAGAGAAGGGGCTACAAACACAAAACTATCCAAAAAGGCTTTCAGAAAGCGGAAACTATTCCAAGGAGTAAACTGTTAAAATACAAATATAAAAAGAAAAATAAAAGGACTCCATGTGTTCTTACTTACCACCCAT